ACTCTATAATCCGATTATAGCAACAATTAGTATATTCGAATGCAGAGACCTTAGACTTTCTACTCTACAAGCATACGTCAAAAATATCTATGTGATTTCTTTATTTGAGCATTTCTTATCTCGATATCTTGAAGATAACAAAATAAATGGAAATAAATGCATCGGAATAAAAAACTATGTACTTTAGCATCAGCATAACAATGGAACGAACCACCAAAGTTATAAAAAAATTAGATAAGTTTTTTTTTACCCATAATGCATACGAAATTTAGATTTTTATCACAAAGTCTAATAGACTGAAAAGCATAAAAAACTGTTGCCAGACAACTGAATAACTTCGGCACCCCAAACAAAGATATTTACATTAAAGTACATACACATACATGTACAATTTGATTATTATGAATAAGTTGAAATAATATGAGACTACCTTGAATAATTATGGCACGATTACTAAAATTTAAAATAACAAATGTATTTGTGCATTTTTGAAATAAAACAGCATTTACATTAGAACCTTTTACCGGGTTAATATACTTTATGAGGATTTATTTGACATATATACAATGGAATTGACAATTTGAACCAGCTGGGTTAACGAAATCCAGGTATAATGTAAACATACCATAGCGGGGAGTAATTTCTATCAAAATTGTGAAAATAGTGATTGAAAAATTAATTAATTAACAAGTGAAAAAGCGTTAAGTTCGGCCGGGCCGAACTTTAGATACCCTCCACCATAGATTTACTGACAGGTAATTGAAATGAAAATATCGGGAAAATACCAAAAAATGGACCTATACCGACATTTCTAGAAACCTTTATGTAAACCAAAATACAAATTTCAAAATGGATAATTATACCCTCAGCCTTATGGCTAATGAGGGTGTATATACTTTGACACGGTGAAAATGTGCCTCATCGAAATATATTTGTTTTAGACCCCATGTTTCTTTGGACAAAATTCGTTTCAGAAAATTTAGATTTCATCCAAACTTTGCCCTTACTTACTATTTCTTCCAAATTTAGTTCAATTTCGAAGATGGGCAATATGGGTCCAGTCCTTCTAGTACCTCCCACACAGAGGCTAGGTCTAAATGCGGGTTATAGTTCACTGTCGAACCGTACGTACAGGTGAAAAGATTACAACAGAGTCTTAGAACCAAACCCAAAACACAGAACAAATCAGATAGCGATTTTAATATAAAAAATGGGGTTATATGGGGACTACCCCAAAAAGAGGGCGAATATTTATAATTTTTGGTGGAGAGATTTATTACCATATACGACTACAAAATACCTAATTGCAGCGAATTCGGTTGAAAAATGCACTGAAGAACCCCAAAATACCGAAAATTGCAGGTACCCTTATATGGGGGTACCCGAAAAAATTGATCTATGTTCTATGATCCTATCTTCGAACTTGACCTGCCTGCAGACAAAAAAAAACCCCATGCATCTTCATCCATACTGGGGCATCTTCATCCATACTTACAACATGACCGCGGTAACTCCAGCTCCAATAGCGTATATTAATGTTTTTGCGGTTAAAACGTTCGTAGTTGAATTTGTGCTTCATACCTTATGTATGTAAGCGTATTACTGGTGGAAATCTTACATGCATAGGTACTTGTATTTATGTATGTTCGTCCTATTTAAACCTGCTTCAGTGCTCTTCAACGTAGTCGCTGCAGCTCAATACGTCTAACAAAGTCGATGTCCGAGAATAGCTGGTACCACTCATGGTTCATTCGAAGGCGATATTCACCGTCAACGCAGATCGGCCCATAGATCTTTCGGAGAATTTTTCTCTCAAACACTCCAAGATTTGCCTCATCTGCTGCGTAAGTACCCATGCTTCAGATCCATATAACAGCACGGATAGTATCAGCGTCTTGTAGAGTGTGAGTTTGGTCTGGCGGGAGGTGGCCTTGCTTTTGAGTTCTTTGCTCAGACCATAGTAGCACCGGTTGGCCATAACTATCCTTCTCCGAATTTCAAAACTGATGTCATTCGTTTTATTTATGGCGGTACCAAGGTATATCAAATCTTTGACTACCTCGAAGCTATAGTTCTCAAGTTCCACAGTTGGTCCGAGCCTACTGGACGTCTTGCGCGTTGATACCATCAGGTTGCCCTTGTTTTTTAAAAAGTTCACAAACTTGCAATGGGTAAGCTAGTGATGGCCACCTCGAATTTTATTAATTAGCTTTTCGGCGATTTCCATCGACGGGTGGTTGGTTAAACATGTTGATACCAGATTCAGCTGGTGTATAATGCAAATGTTAGTCCATGGTGTATAATGCAAATGTTAGTCGATCAAATGTTAGTCCATGTTTTTTCTAATTGGGCAATAAATCCGTCAGTTCGTCCAATCATTACGTTAGCACCATCGGTGCAAACCCCAGCCAATTTATTTGTATCCACGGTGCTTAAAAGCGTTTCGTTGACTGCCTAATATATTAATTTGCCTGGTTCATTAGAATACATTGAAACTAAAACGACATTTACATTAGAACTTTTTACCAGGTTAACCTTCTTTGTGAGGATTAATTTGACATAAATACAATGCAATTGACAATTGAAACCCACTGGGTTAACAAAATCCCGTACAATGTAAACGTACTATAATGTAAACATGATCTCAAATATATTACAAGAAGCATCAACCGATCACACACAAATAACAAGTTGACTAATACCGTTAATATCAGTGCTTTCATCAAAAGAAAAAGAAAATCGTTTGCAAATTTGTAGTATCTACGCAATTTACGCATGTAGCCAAAGAAAGGCTGTTACGAGCAACAATTTTGCTGGAACAGACCAAATAAGAGGAGATTAAACAAGTAAATTGAAAATTTAGGAAGAAATTTGAATAGCCTGAAGCGGTTACTAATATTCTAAGGCCGATACATCATTGTTTCGCTCGTTCCGCTGAAAATATTGCTGATGTAGATACTTGCTGGTTCTGGACCAGCGCAAGGACTTTTTTAATTTGAAAAAAATCAAAAGTAGTAAGTAAAGGGGGAAACACATAAGAGGTCTTTCAGGCTTGGCGTGATAAGTTGGTTTCTTTTATTACAAAAGAATAAAGTTGAACTGCGTCCAGATTCAAGTTTGACTCTGCTATTCCTTTATAAATTGACAATTCATACGAAGCCAACTTAACAGGGCAGGCCTGAATCCTCGTATGTGTTTCCTCCTTAAATTTGTATTTAAAACTCCTTGTACATTAGAACTTTTTACCGGGTTAACCTACTTTATGAGGATTTATTTGACATATATGCAAAGGAAATGGCAATTGAAAACCACAGGGTTAACGAAATCCGGTTAAATGTAAACGTACTGTAAGACACCGACTTTTGTACATTGTTCAATTCGAATCACTCTCGTTATAATCAAGAAAACTGTTACAACTGTTACATTCCTAACAATTGAGAGTATTTATCGAAAATAAATTTATTTTGACAGCATGAAAACATTCATAAAATTTTCAAACTTTTTCAGTAAAATTGAAAATGATGAAACACAGGGATTGTTCATATAGACCCATGGTTCCTTTTGAGAATATGCATAGAATCACTTTCTGAGTCGATTTATACATGTCCGTCCGTCCGTCTGCAGATGTTAATTTGTAAACAAAGTACTGGTCGCATTTATGATCCGATTTGGTTGAAATTCGACACAAGTCACTTATTTGGCCCAAGGACGAACCCTATTGAAATTGAAGAAAATCGGGTCAGATTTAGATATAGCTCCCATATATAGTTTCGTCCGATTTAAGGTAAATGGGGCACCAAAGACCCTAAATAACTTTCGATTTGCACGAAATTTGGCACAGCGTACTGAATTAAGTCTAGAATGATGTGTGCCAAGTTTCATGAAAATTGGCCCCGATTTAGATATAGCTTCCATATATAGTTTCGTCCGATTTCATGTAAATGGTGCACCAAAGTCCCTATATGACTTTCGATTATACAAAATTTGGCATAGGGTACTGAATTAGCTCCAGAATGATGTGTGCTAAGTTTCGTGAAAATCGGTTCAGATTTAGATATAGCTCCCATATATATTTTCGTCCAATTTAACTTTGGAATTGGAACGGTATGCGTTTGGTGTTATCGTACCCCCAATTATAATCGGGTATTAATACTCGACTTTGCGATTAGTCGAAAGTCGATTTACTTATCCCTATGGCCCAGTTGTTTCAACAGCTGTTTGATTCTCTGAACAGCTGATATTGTTGTTGAGAAGCCTAATCGGTCGACTTTTTTTGATTTCCCTATTCGGCCCTATCCTAATCGGTGTTTATTTTGATTCGTTTTGAAGCAATTTCGTCCAATTCCACAACGCCGTCAACACCTTAGAAACGGCATTGTACTTTTCAACTTTTTTATTCGAAAGCACGCCACGCCAAAAAAATAATATTTCATTAATTTTTTTTATTCAACGGGGAAACCGTGGAGTTATAAAGTAAACAGATAAGAGAGGAGTTACAAGTCTACAAATCTATGCAATCTTCAGGTATTCTTCTTCCTGTGGAAGAGCTGAAGGTAATCTTCCTATAGAAGAACTGCAGGTATTCCTATGGAAGAGCTGCAGCTATTCTTTTTCCTATGCAAATGCTGCAGATATTCATCATCCTATGCAGGAACTGCATGCAATTTTCTTCCTATAGATGAGAGCTGGATTTCTTCTTCTTCCTAGAGGAGAACTGTAGGCACTCTTTTTGTGGAATAGCTGCAGGTATTCGATTTCCTGTGGAAGCGCTGCATGTATTGTTCTTCCTGTGGAAGCGCTGCATGTATTGTTCTTCCTGTGGAATAGCTGCAGATATTCTTCTTCCTATAGCAGAGCTGGAGGTATTCTTCCTCCTATAGGAGAGCTGCACGATTTCCTCTTCCTGTGGACATATAAACAATAAAAATATATTTTTAAAAATATACACAGCTCAAATCGGTGGTCCTAAAATCTACTAAACCCATTAAATATTTGAACACATGTTATCGTTAGTGGCCGACTATAGTGGTACCTCATCCAGCAGTGAGGATGAAGACTCAGAAGAGGAGCCTGCCAGTGTGGAAAAATCGACAACAAAAGTGGGATTTGTAACATACCATGTAAACATTTTCTAATAATTTTATATATACTTCTAGGGTAATAATTCCAAACCTCTACTGCCAAGTGCCAGCGCATTGCTAAATTCGACAACAAAGGGCACCGGTGTGGTATTTAGTAATCCATTTTTAGATGCCGAAAAAGCAGAAATAGACAAATTACAAAAACATGTTAAAATGGTTGAATCCGAAGAACATTTAATGCAGAAAAATGGTCGTAAGATATGTTGGAATAATCGCAAAGGGCGATGTCGATTTGGTAATAAATGTAAATATGCCCATGACTCCGATTTGGTAGCTGGTGGTGGCGATAATGAAACGGAAGCAGCTAGTGAAGAGGTAAGCTGTAAATAATAATTGATGCAAGTTTACAAACTCCATTCGCAATTTTTTTGGGTGAATAAAATTTGTTTTTAATTATAATTTTGGTCTAAATTGGCGGATTTCTATGGACAGTTATGATTGTAACAGTTTGGATATAGAATAATTTTTTTCTAAAAACAATTATAGAAAATTGAATTAGGAATTAGGCGGAGAAACCACTTTTGACTCTAGCCATAATTATATGGGGGGGATAAAGATTTGTTGGTTCAGGGAAATGATAAATGAGACTTTATTGTATATGGGTTTGATGACCACTTGTTGATGCACACTGTTCACTGTGTATCACTAATGACTCGGACTGCATAGTTAAGTACTGAACGAAATATCTTTAAAGCATACAAACAGACGACACTTTATATTAATTTATATATGACCAATATCTCGCGAAGTATGATATGTGTATTGATGAGAGATGAGCGCTAAGACCTATCGTTGATGCACATTTCACATCGACACTTGTAGCTTAACAATTTATTCCATTAAAAATATATTTCATTTTTGTTTCAGACACAATTACAACAATCCCCAAACACAACTCCCGCCAATGTTATCATAAGTAAATCTGCTCAATTAGGACAAGCCCATGAAGCGCCGGAAGGAAAAACAAAATCTCGAAAACGTCCTGGTTTGGGTGATGCACTTGTGCCAGGCAAGAAAGTTATAAAACAGTATCAGGCAACTAAGGACTTATAAAATAAGAAAAAAAGTTCCACCTATACAACACCTTGATCGCATATCCGAACAAAACAACTTCCACTGGGATCCATACAATTGCTTTGCATAACCTTGAGAATGCGTCGTTGAGATTTCCTCAACTCCCTTTCCTCTTCGGAAATGTATTCCATAGATAAACGTAATCGTGGTTTTGATAGCCAAAAATTACCCATAACTTGTCGGTAAGCTAATTGTTTTGGTTGTTCCATATCAATATCATCATCCTCAAGTATATCCGAAATATCGTGTTCGTTTTTTGGAACCAGAGAACCTGTATAAATGTTAAAAAAAGCAGATGTATGTTTAGCAAATAAAAATTACCTTTAAATAAAATATTGTTTACCACCTACCTAAACGTTGTTGTTTTTGTTGTTCCTCCAAAGCTTGAGGTATAATCGAAAGGTTAACACATATGACGCCAATTTGAAATTCATCACAAATACGATATAATATTTGAACCAATCGGGACAATAGACATTTTCCAGCCAAACGATTTACATCCGATTTGAGTAGAAACCAAACCGCAGGCAAAGAATCAATTACAATCAACCTGATATTCTTAACACAATCGCTGCCATTTCGTAACTCTAAGTAGAGAATATTTAACATTTCCACCAAACCCTGAGCGGATAGCACCCTCTCCACTTTAATGGCCTCCAGTGTACCAGCAATCACATCCTTTTTCAATTGTCGTGAAGTTAGAATATTTTTCACACGTGTTGCACAAAAATCCATCTTGGTATCCACATACAACACCTCACGTTGATGTAATTGTATAAAATTACACATTATTGTCAGCGCCAGTTGGGTCTTTCCCACACTTGTTGGGCCACATATTTCCCACATCATTTTACTTGTTAAGTTACTAGGGCCGAGGGAATATGTACGATTTCCTTCAGAATTACGTACAATCGCCATGGGTGCCAACAAATCATCCAATGGTCCGATAAGGGTATAATAACATTTACTATTTGATTTCATTGTCAATGCCTGTTTCTCATCGTACAACGAAAAACTTGCAACACATTCGCTATCACGTAGATCTTCATCAGCATTTCTAAATTTTGCCGCCAAGTTTACACGAACCGGACCATAAATACGTTTTAGTTCTGATTTAATTTTTTGAATTTGTCCCGCATTTAGATTAAGTATTTTCATTAATTTTTCTGTTGTCTCCTTGATGAATTCTCCCACACTGTGGATATCATGTTTGGCCAGAATATTCAGGCAATATTCTGATAATTCGGTGTTGGGTAAAGGTCGAAGTTTGCTCATTTTGGAAATCTAAACAATGTTTTTTTTCTTAATAATTTCAATAAAATGCATCCAATTGTAAAATATTACTTATGTATATTGGTCTTTTTTTTGGAGATGTAAGATTTTATGTATGATGACCAAACAAATATATGTTTCTGCGCCAACTGTAGATATGAAGTGTGATATTTAAAGCCACAAAATACGTTAGAAATTATTGGTATAGATTATTTAAATTACACAGAAAAAGGCGCGAAGATTTGACATGTAATACGAATTACATTGATCACACATTGATATATGCAACCTAATCAAAATACGTTTGATTAATAGGGACGGATACTTCAAGTAAACCGTGTGGCAAAATAGTTGTGAGTTATTTTAACGACAGTAGTGCGTATTTACACTACACTATATGTAACATATGAAAAATATTTAATAGTTATTAATTGATATCACAAACTAAACATTTTTTCTTAAAATGAAATTGAGAATTACAAATGTTCAGCTCCCGTAGTCAATAATAGATAAAATATTTCCAATTTATAAGGGAAAAACCGAAAATAATTTTGATTAATAGAGGATTCCCATTAGGAAATTTAAGTAAATTTTAAACCAAAGGGCAACGAACTTATGTTGCGATTTCCTTGATTTTAAAATGTATTACTGTTAACCCGCAATTAGTACTCATTAAAATGAATATAATTGAAATTCTCATACGAGTATTAGATACAATCAAATCAGCTGAGTATTGCAGTTATCTTGTATAATTGTACAATGCTGCATGCTGAAGAGTCTTGTGGGAGAATATGCCCGTCTGCTAGTTTCCTGTTTTTTTAAGCAGTCAGATTTGCTTGGTAGTATCTTTATTTTGGTTCCCATAGTATTTTGTGTTCTTTTCAGTTCCCCGTTATTCCAAAGGATTTTTTTAGGTTTTTTCATGAAGTTATATGTTTCCAATTTTTTCATAAATTTGCATTTGACAGTATTCGGCTTTCTAAATTTAAATGAAAATATCTTCCTACGAAATGTGCGCATATCATGTGTTCAGTGGCAAAAATTGCTAAATAATGTATATTTATAACTATTTTGAAGTTCTCTGCCTCAAAAACTTATAAATTAGCGGTGTGCAAAAAGAGAGGAGAGTAAAAGAGAAACCGCCATATGAAATGTCTTACAAAAAGAGAACGCAGAGAACGAGCTTATTGATACAATGTAAACACGGGCACCAGTTCCCATGCTTGCCCAGCATTATTATAAATAAAAGATGTAACAACCATGGCTAAATCTTGATCTGTCCCAGAATTTGAAAAATACACAAATATGATTTCATGGTAATTTTTTAGGAATTTTTACAAATATTCCAGACTAATGATTAATTATTTTTTCTACCTGTGTGTTCAAGGGTCTTGATTGGCAAGCAATCACATATTTTACCTGATCCAAAAACCGTATATGACACTGGAGATTAACATACAAATTGTGTTTACAGCGAATTTAAAGGAAGATGTTGCAGTCAAATGGCAGGTTATGATGCTCCTACAAAACTAAAATATTTAATTCGTAGCTGACATTTGACATTTTTGGTCTTTTTGCGTACTCCAAAAATATACTAATATATTCTTGCAGGTTCTGGAACATACCCATTGTATATAAATATTCCTATATATTTATAATTTATTGGTCTGTTTCCGTACAGCAAGAATCTACTAGATTTTACTATTTTCTTCGATTTCAAAAAGGAAATTTCGTTATCGTAGTAAAAATTAGTAGATTCATGCAGTACGGGAACAGACCATACATTTCTTTTTTAATTTATAAATTTATTAGTCTGTTTCAGAACATGCAAGAATGTACAATTTTTTACTAGTACGAGTAAAAAGTAGTAGATTGGGACATTACGGGAACATATCGCATATGTATGTTTATATTAAATTTTTTGAGACAAATTTCGATTTACAAAAGATTCCTGGAGATTCCCGAATAAATTGCTCGCATTAAATACAGTTTTCAAAGAAAAAAAAATAAAATTTTCAAAAGAACAACCGTTTTATAGAATAAATTCCGTCAAAAATACACATTTTTTTCTTTATAATTCAAAGATACGAAACTTATTTTTAATATTTTTAATTAATACATTTTTACATATTATTTTAATATCACCTTTGTTTTTTTTAATCAAATTTAATTTTCCGCCTACATTTTAAATACCGTTCGATTATTACTACCTTCACTGCACATCGATTTAACACACATCATTCGATTACACGATTACATATCGATAACACTGTCCCGTTTTATGAAAATGACATCAAAATGCTTTCAAACGCAGATTGTCAGCAGTTTCCGTCACAACATCGACACGACAACATCGCTCCGCTGCCGCCACAATTACTCATTTGCGTGTGTTATTTCCCTCTCTGTCCAACAGTGCAATCTAGTATACGGAAACCTATGAGTGTGAAGAGTACAACACTATTGTACCAACGAGTATAAAGGCAAAGTACAAAAATTTTCCATCGCAAAGAGAAATTTTTTTCATTGCCATTTTTAACGTCCAAATAGTGAAAAATAATTAAAAATTGTGTGCGGAAAAAATTCGTGAATATCTTAAAAAACGTTTTAACATAGTTTTATGCACGGATGCCTCTAGAAATGGCCGAAAATTCATGATTAAAATTAAAGACATCTGAGGTAGGTGGTGGTGGTGTACAGAAGAAGACACAAGAACCAGAAAAATAAAAAAACGAAGAGGAAAATGTGTGTGTGTGTGTGTGAAATGAAAAAAAGAAGCAGAACAACACGAACAGCAAAATAAAAAAATCTTGGGAATTTGGTGTGTGTGTTTGTGCGCCCAAGTGTTTAGTTTTGCTGCGCTTGGTTTTTTTGTCGTTCCTTCGTTGCTCGGTCGGTTATTAATAAGGGCTGGGTTAGTCAAACGTTACGTTGCAAAATTGTACTTTTTTTGACCGGAATCCGTAGAGAACATATATAAACACGAACAAAAGAATAATACGAAACGATTAAAATGAATGCAATTCGACAAATTAATTTATGATCGCAATTCTAAATGCCCGTGATTTTATGTTAATTAAATGCTAATACGTATAATCATGTATGGGATTTAAAACAAATGCCGGTTTTGCTGCTTTGCTTTGCCCACATTTGCATAACTCATATATTTACAATGTATAAGTATGTGTGTACGTTTTATTTTTTTCGTTTGTAAACTCTGTGTGAACACAACTTGATTTGCCGCTTTTGTTGTTGTTATCACAAAACATGTCATGTTTGCCGGCTAGTAGCTTGTCGAAGACGGCGACGTCGTCTCTCAAGGGCGTTGAAAGAACATTAAAAACGCCGATTTATTTTAATTCGATTTTATTAAACAAAAGCGCGCGTTTTTATATTTTCAATGAGAAATACGACATTTGATTCTAATGTCGATTGATAAGAATTAGATTTGGAATTTAATTTCACAAAGACCCCTTATTATTACTGTACATCATATCATCGAGAGTATTTGTTATTGTTGTTTTTAAAAATGACCAAATGGTTTGTATTGCGAATAGTCATCAATCGAATATTATGCCCATGAATTTTACATGCCCAAGTGTCTAAATATTGGAGGAGCTAATAGCTGTTTAAATTTTAGATTATTTCCGCAGCCTCGCAAGATGATGGTGCTAATATGGAACTAAGATTGGCTTAACTCTAGTTTAGTAAAAACGATCAGATTTTTCTGAAAATTTTTCCAGAGGTAGATATTTTTACCCTAATTATAGGGATATCTTTTTTTCTTGGGGGACGTACCCGGTTACCCGGTTATTTGACCCGGAAGTTCGGGTACGGGTACCCGGTTATATTCGGTTCTACGGATCCGGTTAATATAATATGGGTATCATTTTAAAGGTTATAAAAATACCTTTCCATTGAGTGGTAATATGATGGGGTTATCTCAAACCATTTTGGAGATATAGTCAAAAAACTGGGTTTTGGTCCCCGATTTTTTTGAAAAACTCCCTAAAAGTCGAAATAAGTACCTCTCTAACCCAAACTCAAATGATAGACCACAATTTGCCCTTTCCAAAATGGTGCGATATATGGCTGTATCTGTTGTGGATCAAAAGATATGGGCCTTAGAACCCTACAAAAACAAGAAAATTCTGTCGGGTAGCCGGTGTTGGTATCTGTCCATAGGAGAAAGTCTTAAATCCCCGGCCGAAGGCCGGCTACACAAAAAATATTCTATTTAGAAGGATTTTCTGCCGCGTTAGCCGGTGTTGGCATCTGTCCATAGGAGAAAGTCTTAAATCCCCGGCCGAAGGCCGGTCACCCAAAAAAATATTCCATTTAACAAGAGATTCTGTCGCGTAGCCGGTGTTGGTAGCTGTCCATAGGAGAAAGTCTTAAATCCCCGGCCGAAGGCCGGCTACACAAAAAAATATTCTATTTAGAAGGATTTTCTGCCGCGTTAGCCGGTGTTGGCATCTGTCCATAGGAGAAAGTCTTAAATCCCCGGCCGAAGGCCGGTCACCCAAAAAAGTATTCCATTTAACAAGAGATTCTGTCGCGTAGCCGGTGTTGGTATCTGTCCATAGGAGAAAGTCTTAAATACCCGGCCGAAGGCCGGCTACACAAAAAAATATTCTATTTAGAAGGAGTTTCTGCCGCGTTAGCCGGTGTCGGCATCTGTCCATAGGAGAAAGTCTTAAATCCCCGGCCGAAGGCCGGTCACCCAAAAAACACCATGCTATTTAAAAGGAGATTCTGTCATGTAGAAAGATTTTCCTTGTTTTATAGGGTTCTAAGGCCCATATCTTTTGATCCACAACAGATACAGCCACATATCGCACCATTTTGGAAAGGGCAAATTGTGGTCTATCATTTGGGTCCTGTTTGGAGAGGGACTATAATGGACCCAAGTTCGACTTTTAGGGAGTTTTTCAAAAAAATCGGGGACCAAAACCCAGTTTTTTGACTATATCCCCAAAATGGTTTGAGATAACCCCATCATATTACCACTCAATGGAAAGGTATTTTTATAACCTTTAAAATGATACCCATATTATATTAACCGGATCCGTAGAACCGGATATAACCGGGTACCCGTACCCGAACTTCCGGGTCAAATAAACGGGTAACCGGGTACGTCCCCCAAGAAAAAAAGATATCCCCATAATTAGGGTAAAAATACCTACCTCTGGAAAAAATTTCAGAAAAATTTGATCGTTTTTACTAAACTAGAGTTGTTCCCTAAGATTTTTTGATATTCCAATACAAGTAAAATATTTTCGTCCCATCCTTGGGTATATCTTGATGAGTTCATCATGTCTTGACAAGTTCAACCGCTTTAATGTCTGTGGCTGTTTTATTACCTTTTTAAATTTTAAATTTGTCGAAATAATAATAATTGTGCAAAATTTTAGAGGGCCGATTTTTGGCATTTCCAAATTTTCCACCTGTCCATAGAAAATAACCATAACGCCCCGATAGAAGTCCTGTTACTTTGAAAAAAGGCTTAATTCCAGTTTAGAAAAAATATCAGAATTTGAAATTTTTTCCAGAGGTAGGTATTTTAACGCTAATTATGGGGATATTTTTTCTTGGCGGGCGAAGTTCAGGTACGGGTATGGACAAACGCCAACACACGCCATTTCCACACATATTAGCAGAGGACTCCACCAGAACAGACCGTGCAACCGAACAGTTATGGTGGCACTTGACCAATCGAAGGCCTTCGATGCTGTCAACAATGCCGCTAGCCAGCAGCACTTGGGGCGCTGATAAAGAAATCTAGTTGATCTCTTATAAAGCAATAGGCCGGTCAGTGGTAAGCTATACGGCGCCAGTGTGGTTCGCAAATGTTAGTGATACACAGTGGAAGGTTTAATATTTTCTTTAGAAGATGTAAATTATAATTGTGTGAAATCTATGAATCTACTATGAGACATACATTTTCTGTAGAAGATATTTCAACTTTTCTAAGAAAAATTAATTGTGGAATTTTACATTTCTATTAGGTCAAAAATATATCCCTATTTAAATTAGTCATTATATAAGAAATTTATTCCAAGTAATATTAATAAATGGACATTTCGATAATGCACCTAAAAAGCACTTCCTTGCTCTTCATATATAGGGTGGAAAAACTGTGTGCGTTGAGTACATTTTGTAATTACAAAAATCTTATATTAATTTAATTTATTAGATCAATGTAATTTATAAATTCATTATTTGGCATTTCGGGTATTATATTAATTAAATTTATAAATTCCGGCACCTAAAAAGCACTTTCTTGTCCTTTTATAATCATGGCTTGAAAATCGTACATGTGTGCCATAATAATACCTATTTGGGGAAAACAGATGCAAAGTTTGTATTAAAAAAAAAGAACATATACAAACGATTACTTTGTTTACAATTAAAGTTATCACTTTGCTAAGTCTCTACCACCGAATCTCAATGTGATGATAATTTAGTCCACTGACTTTGGTTGGATTTCGACCTATTTTTGGAAGAATCTAAATATACCAAAACTGCAAATAGGATGTTCGCATTTAGCGAGGCATTTGTCTGATTGAGATGGTTGGAGATTGTGGAAGTTTCATCACTAATTTTAAATAAAGTTACTGAATTAGGCAAGGGCACTCTGTGTCACATTGATAACTACAAGTGGAACAATTTGTAACCTTGCTATATTAATTAGATATTTTGAAACTCTAAAGTCCATTTGTTAATGAAATGCCTAGGGATTTGTTTCGAAATACTAACAACAATTCGCTTGGATTTTAAGTTGAAATTTGCACCTAAAAAGCACTTCCTTGCTCTGTATATACCACAGCTTGGAAATCGTACATGTGTGCAAGAGAAATTTGGGTTTTTAATACCTGATCAATTGCAAAAGTTTTATCTTCATCGATAGGATAAAAACTGTTACGTTGATTACATTCTCCAATGCCGAATTTTTCGTTTATTGATATTTTTTTTGTTTATTTTAAATAATTTGCACCTAAAAAGCACTTTCTTGTCCATTCTATTACCATGGATTGAAAATCGTACATGTGTGTTATATTAAGTTTTTTTCCCGAACGGATGCAAAGTTGTTACTGCCTCATGTACCAACAATTACTCTGTTTACATTTATGTCTGCATTTTTCTGATTGATTTCCAAAAGTTCTCAATATGATGATAAATTAGTCCACTGACTTTGGTTAGATTTCGACCTATTCTTGGAAGAATCTAATTATACCAAAACTGCAAATAGGATGTTCGCATTTTGCGAGGCATTTGTCTGATTGAGATGGTTGGAGATTGTGGAAGTTTCATCACTAATATTAAATAAAGTTACTGAATTAGGCAAGGGTACTCTGTGTCACATTGATAACTACAAGTGGAACAATTTGTAACCTTGCTATATTAATTAGATATTTTGAAACTCTAAAGTCCATTTGTTAATTAAATGCCTAGTAATTTGTTTCGAAATACTAACAACAATTCGCTTGGATTTTAAGTTGAAATTTGCACCTAAAAAGCACTTCCTTGCTCTGTATATACCACAGCTTGGAAATCGTACATGTGTGCAAGATAAATTTGTGTTTTTAATACCTGATCAATTGCAAAAGTTTTATCTTCATCGATAGGATAAAAACTGTTACGTTGATTACATTCTCCACTGCCGAATTTTTCGTTTATTGGGAATTTTTTGTTTATTTTAAATTATTTGCACCTAAAAAGCACTTTCTTGTCCTTTCTATTACCATGGCTTGAAAATCGTACATGTGTGCTATATTAAGTTCCTGAACGGATGCAAAGTTGTTACTGCCTCATGTACCAACAATTACTCTGTTTACATTTATGTCTGCATTTTTCTGATTGATTTCAAAAAGTTATCAATATGATGATAATTTTGTCCACTGACTTTGGTTAGATTTCGACCTATTCTTGGAAGAATCTAATTATACCAAAACTGCAAATAGGATGTTCGCATTTTAGCGAGGCATTTGTCTGATTGAGAATGTTCCGGAAATTGCAAAGAGAAAATATTGGAGAAATTTATATAGTTGTTACTTGTTGAAAATCTCAGTTATCGGACACTCTGTGTCACAAGAGAAGACTAAGGCATGAATTCGCCTGCCTGTTAACCTTATGAATAAACCCTGAACAGAGCTTTCTACATTTTTAAAATATGTTATTTTGATGTTTCTATAAATCTGCTCTAATATCGTAAACACACACACGCGCGCGTTAATTTTCTCAATGTGAATCATTGTTCTCCTTCATCTCTTCCAAAATTATCAGTCACAACAATAGGACTTTATCTAATAATCTATATATTTATTTTTTTTTAGATGCATCAAACATGAATGAAGGTGAGTCAGCAGGAGGGGGGCATCAAGGGTCCAACCCGGCCCCTCCTGCTGTGCCAGACCGCATATCATCAACTACAACAACAAGTGCAACAAATCTTGCAACAAACACCCAGAACAACAACATCAACGTTGTTTTCTCAACCACAACAACAAACACCACCTCTCCTTATAGAACAACAACAAAATCGGTAGCCTACAGCAACAACAACAGTAATAAAATTGAAAATCCAAACGTTGCTGTTACTTCACTAGTTCAACCAATATCCACAACAACAACCACTGCTGTTGGAACACCATTACCACGTACTTTCCAACAAACATTTATACAACAACAACAAAACAATAATATCAATTCCGCCAATACAACATCCGCAGCATCATCATCATCATTACTATCGACATCAAGCAATTTGGGCAAGGGTCTTATGCCTCAAACACCAACACGGTACCCACAGCAGCAACAACAACAACAGCATCAATTGTCATCATCAACAAGTTCCGCCAACTTTGTAACCGTATCTACAACATTTGCAGCAACATCAGCCCTATCCAACACCACCACCTATTCCAATATCAATACCGGTACAGCTATTGGTTCGCCCGACGTCATCAATTCCCCCCTAAGTAAACGTAAAAAATTGGAAGACTCCACAACGTCGTTGTCTGCAACGACAACGCCGTCTTTGGTTAGCGGCAGTGTTGGTAGCGGCGGCATACTCTTGACAACAAGTGGTGGTAGTAGTAGTAGTGGCAGTGTTGGTAGCAGCAATAATTCCATAGTAGGAGGTTCTCTATTGCCCTCAACAACAAATACATCAGCATTATCCAATCCAACGACGGCATCATCGTTAGCAGCAACAACAGCATTAACCAGTAATACAAATTCCGCCGCATTAGCTCAAGATATACAAGGTTTAAAAAAGCGTATATTAGAACAAAAATATTCACGTTTGCGTAGATTAAAAGAAAAGTAAGTTATTGCTGATGTATTTTTTATTTTAAATTTAAATTCTAATAATCATATTTTATTTTATTTAATTCTAGACACTCTGAAAATGTCGCCGAATTGTTTTATTTGCAAATTGGTGGCAATATGATGGACTATCCTACGTGGCGTAAAAAAGCACCTACCCCACAGTTCATCACCTTTAGCAATGCCTATCGTTTGGATCAATTGGTTAACGATGAAAGAACTCAAACTGCTGCCGCAGCAACAACAACTACAACCACAACAGCCACATCAGCAACAACAAATATACCAGCCGCAGCAACGACATCAACGCCGCCGCCTACAACAGCCAATGTTCCTATGGTTGGCGTTTCTTCGATCGTTTCACAGCAACAACAACAGACACCAAATGCTGATAATATAGCAACAATAATTGGTGTGACTGCTGGTAGTCATACAAATATTATAAATCCACAAACAGTAAGTTGTACATTTTTCTTTATAATTTTTTAAAATGATTTTTGTACATTTAAGATTTAAAAAATATTTTTATTGCCTTTAGAAGACCCTATATACGTTATTTATTGTCTATAAAATATCTTCAGATGTCGTCTTTCATTGTCTATCATCCTATTTCCATGAGAAGGGAAAGGGTTCTTCCATATAAATTTCTATTATATATTTAATATATAGAGCTCCATAGATTATCTTAAAAGATCTTCCGTTGTAAAGGGGAACATACCTTTTATATTTATTTTCGGTTTATTACCGATGAAGTTTTTTAAATAATAGAACGACGAACGTCGATAGGGCGCCTTCTAATATAAATATTTTTCTCCCTTATTTTCATCGGTTTGGATTTACAATAGTATAATAAAATATTACATCCAATGTAAATATTTTGATTTGTATAAAATGCACCTAAAAAGCACTTCCTCGCTCTTTATATACCACGGCTTGGAAATCGTACATGTGTGCAAAATAAAATTGGGATTTTTAATACAAAAGAATTCCGATCAATTGCAAAAGTTTTACCATCATTAATATAGTAAAAACTGTTACGTTGATCACATTATACACCTTATAAAATTATAGTTTAGGAAATTATTAAAAAATATTTGCACCTAAAAAGCACTTTCTTGTCCTTCATTAACCATGGCTTGAAAATCGTACATGTGTGCTATAATAATCCCTATTTGACGGGAAAACAGATGCAAAGACGGTACTGAATTTACCAAGTACAGACGATTACTATGTTTACATTTTAGGAAAGTAATTTCAGTCTCTAAAGTACGTTCTCAATATGATGATAAATTTGTCCACTGACTTTGGTTAGATTTCGACCTATTTTTGGAAGAATCTAAATATACTAAAACTGCAAATAGGATGTTCGCATTTTAGCGAGGCATTTGTCTGATTGAGAATGCTTGTTGGAGATTACAAAATTAAAACCTTTGTGGTGTTTTTATTTTAAGTTAGTTTTAATTTTTAGTTATCCCCTATGCAAGGGCACTCTGTGTCACATTGATAACTACAAGTGGAACAATTTGTAACCTTGCTATAACAATATTTGATATCTTGAAATTTCGAAAACCATTAAACAATTTCCACATGGTTTTATTTTTAAGATTCTACACATAAAACGTTCTAACATTTGGTACAACTCTTAACTCAAAATGATGACACCATGTCAACTGACTTTGGTTAGATTTCGACCTATTTTTGGAAGAATCTAAATATACCAAAACTATAAAAACAGGATGTTCGCATTTTAGCGAGGCATTTGTCTGATTGATGTCAAATAGATAATTAATTGTTAGAATTAATTTTTTATTTTATTTTTTTATAAGTATTTCTTTATTTGCACCTAAAAAGCACTTTCTTGTCCTTTATTAACCATGGTTTGAAAATCGTACATGTGTGCTATAGTAATCCTCTCAGGAAAATGGATGCAAAGTCTGCATTGCAGTCAGATGCAAACGATTACTCTATTTTCATTTGTATATCAACACTTTAAAGTCTTTTTTTGAAATGGTCTCGATATGATGATACATTAGTCCACTGACTTTGGTTAGATATCAACCTATTTTTGGAAGAATCTAAATATACCAAAACTGCAAATAGGATGTTCGCATTTTAGCGAGGCATTTGTCTGATTGAGAATGTTGGAAAGAGATGTAAAAAGTTTTTTTTTTTTCTTTAATATCAAGAATATTCAATCTATCTAGTTTGCCACTTAAGCAAGGGCACTCTGTGTCACATTGATAACTTACATGTGAAAACAATTTGTAACCTTGCAACAATATAATATTTATATATTTTAAAGCTCTAACCTCTTTTTATTTCCTCATTATAATTAGAATTGTTTTAAAGTACTTACATTATAATGTTTAACATTTAAATTATTCTGGTATTAATATTGGCACCTAAAAAGCACTTTCTTGTCCTTATTTAACCATGGCTTGAAAATCGTACATGTGTGCCATATTAAGATAATTTCAAACGGATGCAAAGTTTATACTAAACGTAGCATGTATAAACAATTACTCTGTTTACATTTATGATAAGACCTGTAGGCCTATTCAGTAGCTTTTAACAACATTCGATGTTGTTTAAATTTCACTTGTTATTGTAAAAACAATAAGACAAACAAATGAAATTGTTGCAAAATAAACAATATCGAATGTTGTTTAAAAGTTACAGAATAGGCCTTGTGAATAGCATCTTAAAATTCTCAGTATGACCTCCATGTCTTATACAGCCATATTTTACGGAAATTGAAAAACCTCTCTGTTTTCTATTGACATTAGAATAACTTTTATGACCAGTTACGAATGTTTACTGAGTATAACTTCAAAGTCTTCTATAGGCAAAAAAAACCTTCAAGTCTATAGACAGTAGAAAATAGTTTTTAAATTTATTTATAATCTCACACTTTTTATTTTTACTCTTTTAGAATATACAACAATCTCATCAGGCATCATTAATCGCAGCGTCATCGTCATCATCGTCTCCCGCATCAAATTTGGTCTCAAATCAAGGTCGTCTGCCAAGCAGTACAACCATATCTCCATCAATAGCATCATCATCAGCATTATCATCTCCCGCAAATGTAGCAGTAGCAGCAGCATTGGCATCGACGTCAAACAACTCTTCGGTGACGTCGTCAACGGCCAGTAATGCTGCTGCAGTCGGCAATGTACAAACAGCAGCTACACTGTTGCCCTCAACAGCCACCGATGCCAGTGGCAATCCATTGCCTCCGCAAGGGGCAGAAATAAAAATACCCGCCGTTGGTGCAACACCGGTGGCGGTGTCCACAAAATTGCCAGCCGCCGTGCAACAATTAACACAGCAAGGTAAGGCTCCATTAGCTTTTGTTGTTATTTTTTGTATTACGGTTTCTTTACGATTTTAATTTAAGTTTTAGTTCCCAATATTTTTTTAACAAAATTTCCTTTTTGAAAATTTACTTTAATCCTAAACTAAAACAAATTAAACATGCTTTGTAAACTATTCCTCTGAAGCAAAAAACAACACTGAACACCACAGAGAGAGACACTTTAACAAACCAAAAAGCACTTCACTTGATCATCCAATAAAAAAAACACGAAAATTATTTCTTTTACCTCTCACACACAAACTTTTTGTTGATCATCATAAGTTTTTTTAGTTTCCTTTTTTTGCCTTCTTTAACAAATTTAGTTCGAATTGTAAAATTCGTTTTTTCACTCTCTCATACAATTTCTCCATTGCTTTTTTTTCTTCTTTTCTTTTTTTACCATTATCCTTATTGTTGTTGTTTTTTAATTGTCTTTTGAAATCACATCAATCACCACCAAACAAATTTATTTAGGTCACATTCCGGGTAGACCTTTAGGCGGTCGTCACGGGATGGTATTTGGTCAAATACCCGCTCCACCTGCTGTAGGAAATTCTACTGTACCTTTGGTGCCAGGTGCTTATCATTTATAATCCCTTCTTCTTCTTTAAACATTAATACAGGAAAAAATAAAAACATTTTCTTTTGCCATTTTTGTTTTTCGTTTTCATATATTTCCTTGTTATAGCTTTGTTGTATATAACCAACATCAATTTTCCATATGATTTTCAAATTTTATTTTTTATCAATTCAATTCAGTCATATCTTAAAAACGCATCCCCTATTCGTTGTTATTCGTTAGGCATTTCCTTTTCATTTTCATGTGGTCTGCAGTAAATCCCATATTCTCAATAGGAATTGGCTTGATTTATTTTTATGTAGATTATATTTGGCTTCTTTTTTAAATTTTTATTTTTTTATGTGGTAAATAAAAAAATATTTTGTAGTATTTTTGTTTTAAGTTTTTATATAGATGTATTTATATGGCTTTATTGTATGTATTATGTCATGTGTATGTATATATTTTAAGCAGAGTAATTTTTATCAAGCCTTTAAAAAACATACCTCTAGATTTATAGACAATTAAAAATTTTTAGGTCTATTAAAGATATTGGAAGACCTCTAGTTCTTCTGTCGAGGTCTCCTATCGACAATAGAAACCCTATTGGTTTTCTGTAGACAATGAACGTTTTTAGGTCTTCTATAGATAATAATCGGACGGGGCCGACCATTACCCTACACAACTTCCACGAAAATCTAACTTTCTGTGGTTATAAATTCTGAGCATGGAAAATATTTAGCTATATTTGCACCCTCTTGACCGACTAGAGGTCAACAGACATTACTAATATTCAGTAACTCCCTTGTCCAGATTCCCTTCACCGTAGGTTGTGTTATGATGTTCGGCTTTCAATTGTGACCTATATATTGACTCGAAAAAACTCAAAAAAATTAAGTTTTCTGTCCACCTCATGCCAATATTATTATCTGATCATAACCGAAAATTATAGGCGTTATCCTTGACCACACCTGGATCCTCGTAGAAAATTTCAAAGCGATCCGCGCTGTATTTCCGCCTTTAGTGTGGTAATGTGTAACTAAATAATATCTGAGTACGTAAGCACCTGTAAATATTTAAATGTAACTCCCACATCTCCATGGAGAAATTCGGGGTGTTTGGACCATAATTGCGGCGTCTAGAGCGTCCAGAAAAATCAGACAACATTTAGTTTTTGGTCAATTTCATCCCCTAAATATTAACCGATCTTAACCAAAAACAATAGGGGTCTTCATTGGCCAGAACCCATCCTACATGCAAAAATTCCTGAAGATTGGTCCATAACTGTGGCCTGTATCGTGTTTACAAATTATAATGGACGGACGGACACACATGTCTAGATCGACTCATCTAGTCGATATATGACGATCTGTATACTTAAAGGTGGGCCTAGGACCAATATTTCGCGGCGTTACAAACTCTTGGGGTTGCACAAAGCTATAATACCCTGACGACATAGTTGTGTAGGGTATAAAAATGCTCTATGTTTACTATACACAATAGAAACCCTCTAGGTCTTCTGTAGACAATAGAAATCCTTTAGGTCTCTTATGGACAATAGAAGAAGTCAGGGTCTTCTATACAATAGACAATAGAAAACTGTAGGGTCTTCAACATACAATGAAATATCTCTAGGCAACAAACTATATAAACTCTCTTGGTCTTCTATAGACAACAAACTAGGTTTCTATAGACAATAGAGGACCTCTATTGACATTAAAGTACATTTAAGTATTAAATTGATACTAAAGTGTTTCTAGTGAATTCTATAGGCAAAAGTAGGCTTTTATAGACCATGATCTCCTATAGGCAAAAAATACCTCAATGTAATCTATATAAAAAATGTATGACACCTACACGTTTTCTATATACACTAGAATATCTCTTCTGAAGACGCAATACATTAAATGTTTTCTAATGTTTATAGAAGACTTCTAAAAGAAGACCTCCATGTCTAAATGTATTAAAAAATAGAACACCTCTAGGTTAAATTAGGTTAAAGGATATACAAATTAATATTTTTAAGTCCCCATAAGTCGTGGATTTTTAAATTAAAATTTTTAAGTCCCCCTATAGGTCGTGGATTTTTTAATTAATATTTTTTAAAGTTCCCCCATAAGTCGTGGATTTTTAAATTAATATTTTTTAAAATCCCCCCATAAGGCGTGAATTTTTTTGGCACCTAAAAAGCACTTTCTTGTCCTTAATTTATCCATGGCTTGAAAATCGTACATGTGTGCTATAGCAAATCACCAAAACAGATGCAAAGTTGACACTGAAACCAACAACAGGTACCAACGATTACTCTGTTTACATTCCAGCAGAATATTCTTTTCAGTCTCCAACGTTCCCAATATGATGATAAATTTGTCCACTGACTTTGGTTAGATTTCGACCTATTTTTGGAAGAATCTAAATATACCAAAACTGCAAAACAGGATGTTCGCATTTCGCGAGGCATTTGTCTGATTGGGAATTTTTGGAGATTGTATTGAGTATTTTTTATACTTTAAGAACCTTAATAGTTAGTAATCCTTCATGCAAGGGCACTCTGTGTCACGTTGATTATTTTACCACAAGTGGAACAATTTGTAACCTTGCTATAAAAATTTGGATATTTTTTTAAAATTACATATTCTTATTTCCAATATGAAATTTGATTTTTTTTTAAATATCCATATTAGATGTGTCTTTTTTTTGGTCATTTTGGTTTTTTTCAATATGATGACACTTTAGTCAACTGACTTTGGTTAGATTTCGACCTATTTTTGGAAGAATCTAAATATACCAAAACTGCAAAAAGGATGTTCGCATTTCAGCGAGGCATTTGTCTGATTGAAGGCTAAAGTGATCAAATTAAAGATTTAAGATTGAAATAAATTGAATTGAATTGAGTTGTATTATTTTTGGCACCTAAAAAGCACTTTCTTGTCCTTAATCTATCCATGGCTTGAAAATCGTACATGTGTGCTATATAAAGATTTTTTCCGAACGGATGCAAAGTTGTTACTGCTGCAAGTATCGACAATTACTCTGTTTACATTTATGTCTGCATTTTTCTTTTATGGTGGTTTCCTAAAGTTCTCAATATGATGATTAATTTGTCCACTGACTTTGGTTAGATTTCGACCTATTTTTGGTAGAATCTAAATATACCAAAACTGCAAATAGGATGTTCGCATTTAGCGAGGCATTTGTCTGATTGAGAATGGAGGAAATTTACTAAGGCATAAATAAATTAATTTAATTAATTATTTAACCTCTGTATTACGTATATTCAGGTTATTGATACATCATATGAACCTCTGCAAGGGCACTCTGTGTCACATTGATTAATTACAAGCGCAACAATTTGTAACCTTGCTATAGAAATTTATATTTTTTGAAATTTAATTCTGTTTGTATGTCAAACCATTGTAGGTTATTTTAAAGTGTAAGACAAATATCTCAATATAGATTACCTATAAAATTTATTTATAACCTATTTGAATTTTTTATAGATTTTGAAATCTGAAAAACTTTTGAGTTCATATAATTTGTAGGTTAGGGTTGTTTCTGTACAATCTCCTTTACCATATAGGTGAACAAAATTACTCTGTTTACAGGTCTAAATATATCTACAACATATGCTCTAGTACCAGAACATTAAGGATTGACATGATTTGAAATATTTTTTTAGTCGTCACAAAAAAAATGAATTTTGATTATTGAAAAATCCTCGTTGGTATTGAAAACGTTGAAAGCAATATTAGCTGTTCTTTCAAATTTTCGTTATTTTGAGGATTCTGGAATTGATTGTATTTTGAGTTGATTTTATTGTATTTCAGTATAGTCCACGGCAAATTGATAGTATATTGGAAACATTTCCATAGGTTAGCATATCTCCAAAAAAAGATCTACTTCGGTTCAACAATAGGTTGCACCAATAAATCCCAATTTTTTTTGCTTTTTTATTTTTTTAAGGTAAATGAAATAGAAAATCTTATTGCAATCCCTAATATTTTGTACTAGAGTATTCAACAACAATATTTTCTTACAGCATGTGATCAAAATTAATTTATAATACAATTTATTAAAATAGCATGCTATGTGTAATATAATAAAAATTAAATAACAAAATATTGAAAAAACCTCAAATATTAACATTTCGTTTTTTACTTTTCTTTCTAAAGGTGGCACACCACTTATTCCCTGCAGCACCGCCCAAGGCACCACAGCATTGCGCCGCAATGGCAATGGTGTGGCCTCAACCGCAACATCAAATACTCCTCCGCCTTTGTATTCACCATCGCCCAGTAATGCTTCGGCAGCGACGGCGTCGTCATCGGCGGCGGGCACAACAAATGCAGCCGCCGCCGTTGCTGCAGCGGCCGCAGCTGCCGCCTCCTCTAATTCTGCGGCCACAACACCCAACAGCAATCAGGAGTTTTCCTTTAAGGCCAAACAAGAGGTTGATGTTATGCGACGCATTATGGAACTACAGCGAGAGGGATTATGGACTGAAAAACGTTTACCCAAACAATTGGAACCGCCACGGCCCAAGGCCCATTGGGACTATTTGCTTGAGGAAATGGTTTGGTTGGCTGCCGATTTCGCCCAGGAACGTAAATGGAAAAAGGCGGCGGCCAAGAAATGTGCCAAAATGGTGCAGAAATATTTCCAAGACAAAGCCAACGCGGCCCAAAAGGCTGAAAAGGCCCAAGAAGCCCACTTGAGACGTGTGGCCGCCTTCATTGCCAAGGAGGTGAAAATGTTTTGGGGTAATGTTGAGAAATTGGTGGAATATAAACATCAAACTAAATTGGAAGAAAAACGGAAAAAGGCATTGGATCAGCATCTCTCGTTTATTGTGGATCAAACGGAGAAATTCTCCCAACAATTGGCAGAGGGTATGAATAAGACACTGAAAGATACAACCTCAGCCAATCCGAGTATAAATTCCAGTCGGATATCATCACCGAAAAGAGATGCCACCGATGGTAAGTAATGAAAAAAAAATTAAAATAAATTTCAATACGAATTTCACATGATGCTAACTTGTCACTGATTCCCCAAAACTTATGCTCTATTTTTGAGAAAGTTTTAAAGGGAAACCACAAAGGATGTTCGCTTAAGCGAGGCATTTGTCTGATGTTTATTTTAAATTCCATCAAAATCAATTTTACTACAAAAACTAATTTTAATAAAAAATATGTTTTCTTTTTTTTAATAGATGAATTCCGCCCCGACTCTGCCTCCGAAGATGACGAAGAAACCATTGCTAAGGCCGAGGAGGAAGAAAATGCCGATGTCGATGCCGAGGTGGCAGCATTGGAAAAAGAATCTCAAATGGATTTGGATGATTTTCTCAAAGATCTGCCCAAGGGTTATCTGGAGAATCGTGATAAAATTGTCTTAGATGAGGATAACACCAGCAATACCGCCACCACATCTTCATCAGCATCCAAACAGCGTAAAGGCAACAAGAATCGAAAACAAAAATCCGCCAAACATCAAGAAGACGACAGTGATGATGGTGAATTTGAGGCCAACGAGAGTAGTGAAGATGATGAGAATACCATTCGCAAACAAGAGGAAGAAGAAATGGATGTTGATCATCAAAAGGAATTGGATGAATTGGAGGCGGATAATGATTTAACGGTGGAGGAGTTGATAGCCAAATATAAAACGGGTAAAATTGATGAATCGACCGCAAACACCATTACCACCACCCCAAGTAAAACAAGATCGTCAAATAAATCTAAAACAGATGATAAAGATGTGGAAACGGCAAAAATGGAAGATGACCAAGACGACGAAGAATTGGATGAAGAAACCATTTCCAAGGCCATGCGAGATTCGGATGATGATTCAACAGATGCTGAAGAAGAATCGGCCGATGAAGATGATGACGAAGACGACGATGAGGAGGATGAAGACGACGACGAAGAAGAAAGTGAAAATGAAATCAGCGACGCAGAAGAAAATCCTGAAGATGCTGCTGGTCTCAAAGATCTTTTAGAAGATTCAACAAATGCCACTAACAGCAGCAGCAGTAAAGATGACATGATTAAAGATGCTGCCGCCTTGGCTGAATCCTTACAACCCAAAGGCAATACCTTATCCTCAACAAATGTTGTGACGCCCGTACCATTCCTCTTAAAACATTCATTGCGTGAATATCAACACATTGGTCTTGATTGGTTGGTGACAATGAATGAACGTAAACTTAACGGTATATTGGCTGATGAAATGGGTTTGGGAAAGACAATACAAACCATAGCATTGCTAGCCCATTTGGCCTGTGTCAAAGGTAATTGGGGACCACATTTAATTGTTGTACCCTCCTCAGTGATGTTGAATTGGGAAATGGAATTTAAAAAATGGTGTCCTGGCTTTAAAATACTCACCTATTATGGTACACAAAAAGAACGTAAAATGAAGCGGGTCGGTTGGACTAAACCGAATGCTTTTCATGTCTGCATAACATCGTACAAGCTGGTGGTACAGGATCAACAAAGTTTTCGTCGTAAAAAATGGAAATACCTTATATTGGATGAGGCTCAAAATATTAAAAATTTCAAATCTCAACGTTGGCAATTGTTGCTAAACTTCTCGACAGAAAGGTGAGTTAGAAAAAAAATAAATTCACAAACATTTTTACCTTGTCCAAGCCGTTTCAAAGCAGCGACCACTTTTATTGAGTTGGAATTGTTGTGGATCTATTTGGAACGGCGAGGTCGTTTTTATAGAATTTAATACATACATAAACACATCTCTATTGAGGCGAAAATTTTGTATAAATCTAGCACCCCAATCGGCAGCTTAACTCTATCTCAATAAGTTTTGCAGTCACGCTTGGGTGCTTAGATTAATATTTTTGGACTAATATTCGCTATTGTGGTTTTATTCGACAACCAGAATAGATACATTAGCCGACAATGCATTCGAAAACGTTCGTTTTATATTAAATTAGATTGAAATGAATTGAAAATTTCCATATGTAATTACTATATTGGCACCTAAAAAGCACTTTCTTGTCCTTAATTTAACCATGGCTTGAAAATCGTACATGTGTGCTATAACAAATCATCAAAACAGATGCAAAGTTGATACTGAAACCAACAAGTACCAACGATTACTCTGTTTACATTCCAGTAGAAGATTCTTTTTCAGTCTCCAACGATCCTCAACATGATGATAAATTAGTCCACTGACTTTGGTTAGATTTCGACCTATTTTTGGAAGAATCTAAATATACCAAAACTGCAAATAGGATGTTCGCATTTTAGCGAGGCATTTGTCTGATTGGGAAAGGTTAGAGATTGGAAAAATATTTTTAATTTTTATAAATGTTTTAATGTAGTTTATCGCCTTAAGGTCGGAAAACATGAAATTGAAATTAAATAAAAAAATTAAGGAGATATCTTAGGTGAATGAAAAAAATTTAATGTCTTAGTTATCCTCCATGCAAGGGCACTCTGTGTCACATTGATTATTTTACCACAAGTGGAACAATTTGTAACCTTGCTAGACAAAAATTGGGTCATTTGAAACTTCATATTTCTAATTTTATTGTGAATTTGAAATTGTTTTCAAATATCACATTAAACGTCATATATTTTTTGGTCATTTTGGTTTTCAATATGATGACACTTTAGTCAACTGACTTTGGTTAGATTTCGACCTATTTTTGGAAGAATCTAAATATACCAAAACTGCAAAAAGGATGTTCGCATTTTAGCGAGGCATTTGTCTGATTGAAAGGATAAAGTGATCAAAAATAGTTTCTAGGATTTAATTATATTATATTGTTGGCACCTAAAAAGCACTTTCTTGTCCTTAATCTATCCATGGCTTGAAAATCGTACATGTGTGCTATATTAAGTAGATTTTTTTTCTTCGAACGGATGCAAAGTTGTTACTGCTGCAAGTATCAACGATTACTCTGTTCACATTTGTGTTTATGGCTTTTATAAAGTTCTCCAAAGTCCTCAATATGACGATAAATTATTCCACTGACTTTGGTTAGATTTCGACCTATTTTTGGAAGAATCTAAATATACCAAAACTGCAAATAGGATGTTCGCATTTCAGCGAGGCATTTGTCTGATTGAGAATGGGGCAAATTTGTTAAGGCATAAATAAATTAATTTAATTGTTTATTTAACCTCTGTATTTAGTATATTCAGGTTATTGGTACATATGCATGGGCACTCTGTGTCACATGATTACTTACAAGTGGAACAATTTGTAACCTTGCTATAACAAAATTTGTATTTTGAAATTTAATTATATCTTTGTAATAACTCTGTAATGGGTAGCCATTACAGAGTTATTTCAAAATATAGACATATATTTCAGTATAGATCATTTAAAAAGTAATTTGGTTTGGCACCTAAAAAGCACTTCCTTGGCCTTTTAAAACCCATGACTTGGAAATCGTACATGTGTGCTAAATAAATTATTCTTTATTCAAAACAGATGCAATGTTTTCATTGTCCATAACCAAGATGAAAATAATTACTCTGTTTACAAATGAATCTTTCTATTATGTTCCGACAGTTTATACAAATGGTCCACTGATTTGATTAAACCTATTTTTTAGGTATCTAAATATACCAAAAATAAATGATTTATTCGAAGAAAGTAGGAGATATAAGGTCAACATTATTTATTTTATTTATTTCTATTTTAATTTCGAATTATTTTTTACTTTGTCTCATGATTTTTTTATACAGCACTTCAATCAGTGATATAACTCTTTGTTATTCTTATAGTTATAGAACTACGCTAAGGTGCCTACAATAAAATTACCGAATAATCTCGCTACTATTGTCTTGTCGTTTCAATCAGAAGTCAGTATTAATAGATTATACTACACAATAATTTGCCATTTCCTTAGATTTTATTTTATAGCATCCAATAATGGTTCTTTGTGCTGTTACCATGGTCACCAAGAAAGCCATAATAATTAACAAAAGGATGCTTATATAAAAAAATAAGACTAAATTTCGCTATTGTGGTTTTGTGTAGACGACCAGAATAGATATTTTGGTGTACAGATTTTCGATTTTTTTAATTATTATAAGGGCGAGTATAGATGTACAAACGATTCTGGGCATGTCTTCCAGTTAAGAGATGCAACTAGTTAATCTGCAGCCACAGTTCTTCTGCATTAAGTTGGGTAGGCCGGCCGGCCGGCAGGGCAATTGAATAAGTGCAGTGTGTTGTTGTGAGGGCCTGTATAGAAAAAATGCATCATTAACGGTGGCCTGATTTTTTTCCAAAGAAAATATGCCTCATTAACGATGACCTGTTTTTTTTTCTACAGAACCTAAGGCCGGATTTTTATAGCCTTCAACACAGTTTGGTACGGGATATTATGTTTTTGTGCGTATGTTTGTAACAGGCGAATTTATGATCCGAATTGAATGAAATTTGGCACAGCTCATCTATTTGGCCCAAGGACGAACCCCATTGAAATTGGGAAAAATTTCAATTTCAGATTTAAATATAGCTCCCATATATATATTTTCGTCCGATTTAAAGTAAATGGTGCACCATAGTACCTCTATGGCTTTCGATGTGCGAAATGTGGCATAGCGTACTGAATTGTGTTTAAAATAATGCGTGCTAAGTTTCATGATAATTGGTTCAGATTTAGATATAGCTCCCATATATATTTTCGTCCGATATAATGTAAATGGTGCGCCAAAGTCCCTAAATATCTTTTGATACGCACGAAATTTGACATAGGGTACTGTCTATAATGATGTGTGCTAAGTTTCGTGAAAATCGGTTCAGATTTAAATAAAGCTCCCAAAAGCTCCCCTGATTTTCTTCTACAGAAAAAATTCTCCATTAACGCCTGTTATACTGAATCCTGATTTTCTTCTACGGAAAAAATTCTTCATTAACCGAAACCAGATTTTTTCTATAGAAGAAAAAATTATGATTTTTTTTAAGTTTAATTTGCTTTCTGAGTCCACTATAAATATGTAGCACTTCAATCGGTGATATAATTCTTATCCATATAGTTATTGATCCACGCTAAAGTGCTTATATTAAAATTTTGGAATAATCTCGCTAATATCGGTTCGTTATAAAAAAACCAACAGCCGGTATTATTAGATTAAACTACATGAAAATTGAAAATAGTTTTGGTGTTTGTCTATCATAGCATCAAAGTCAAATACTTGATATGAATTACGTACAATCAAGAAAAACTATTTGGCATTTCGTAACGATGCTTAGATAAAACATTGACTAATTTTCGCTATTGTGCAACTGTTTACCAGTCACAATATTAGAATTAGTGAACATTCTAATATTTCAAATTAAAAAATTGTTCAATTTATTTGTATGTTTTAATACTTGCAAATGGGAATCTAATTCTTTTTTAGACACATCTTAGTTCTTAAAAATTTATAAAAATGCATGTTATAAATTTGTTTATATAGTTTATCAATCTTCATTTTGAATACTAATTTGATTTATTCTCTTTCTCTTCCAGACGTTTACTACTCACCGGTACACCATTACAAAATGATCTTATGGAATTGTGGTCACTTATGCATTTCCTAATGCCCTATGTATTCTCATCGCATCGTGAATTCAAAGAATGGTTCTCTAATCCAATGACCGGCATGATTGAAGGCAATATGGAATATAATGAGACGTTAATACAACGTCTGCACAAAGTTATACGGCCGTTCTTGTTGCGACGCCTTAAAAAGGAAGTCGAAAAACAAATGCCCAAAAAATACGAACATGTTGTTATGTGTCGTCTGTCGAATCGTCAACGTTATCTGTACGATGATTTTATGAGTCGAGCGAAGTAAGTTCGTATGCCACAAAATGGGAAAAAATTCCATGTTTTTTTTTCTTTATTCAAATTGGATAGAATATGATTTTTAATTGTATTGTATTTCATTTTTTTTTACAGAACAAAGGAAACCTTGCAAACTGGCAATTTGCTGAGTGTTATAAATATTTTAATGCAATTGCGTAAAGTCTGCAATCATCCGAATATGTTTGAAGTACGTCCAACGATATCACCATTTCAAATGGAGGGTATTACATTTGAAACGTCACGTTTGGTCTGTGATCTAATGGAATATGATCCATTTACGGTAAGTTTTCTAATAACGAAGTATTTAACGACATTGATCCCTTTGGTAAATTTAAAAGCTGATTCCTATAGTATTCGTCGAGATACCCTATAGGAAGATGTAGGGAGCCAAGAAGAAAATATTTAAAATTAAAATTTTAGTATTTTATAGTGAATATTAGTTTTTATAAGCTCGGGTTTGTTGTTAACTACGTAACATTAAATATGGTCTTATAGGCCTTGTATTACATGAATGAATAAATAAAAATAATATGGGGATTTTACCACCTAGGGTTGTATACTGACTTAGGTCCAAATGATGTATGCGAAGTTTTGTTTGAAATCGGTTTAGATTTAGATATAGCTCCCATATACAATTTGAATGATGCAATAAACTCCCAATATTTGTCCGATTGAGATAAAATTTTACACAGCGTACTTAATTAGGCCAATATTGATATAAGCCAAGTTTTGTTGGAATCGGTTCAGATTAGATATAGTTCCCAAATATAGTTTAGTCCTATTTTATGTGAATGGAGCACCATTCTTGTCAATATTGGTCCGATTGAGACAAAATTTTGAACAGAGTTCTGAATTAGGTCCAGATTTTTGAAATCGGAGTTTTGTTGAAATCGGTTCATATAACAGATTCGTTGTATGTAAATAGAGCACCATACTGCCAATATTGGTGCGATTGAGACAACATTTTGCTAAAAAATTTCATTTTTTTAAATATTCCTTACATTTATATTGAAGTATAGCATCAACAAATAACATTCCTAACCTCATTTTTTATGAAATATTTTGTGAATGTTATGAGTTTTAATTTTGATGCTTATATTAAACTAAAGACTGATTTTCGCTATTATGGACTTGTTAAACATCCATGATAGATATTTTAGACTACAAATAATTTTTTTAGAGGTATTTTGAAATGTTTTTTTCTTGACCTAGCATCTCAATCAGTGACTTAACTCCGATTACATAGTTAATGAACTACGCTAAGATGCTTACATTAAGAACAATGAATAATCTCGCTAACTCTGTCTTGTTTGATTTTCGAAAGACAGTGTTAATAGATTAAACAACAATATTTATATGATGTCTGATAAAAAATCTGCTTAGCAGATTTTTCCTATTAGGAATAGTCAGAATATATACTTTTTGGAAAGTATTATTAGTATATACTATGTTTTAGAAGTATTTTGCACGATGTCGTTTTTATAGCATCTCAATCAGTGACTTAACTTACTTTACATAGTTAACGAACTACGCTAAGATGCTTACATCAAATAATTTTGAATAATCTCGCTAACTCTATCTTGTTACATTTTTCGAAAGGTAGTGTTAATAGATTAAGCTACAACAATTGATGATTATTTAGACCAAAGTTTTTAGCATCAAAAATGTCTTTCATAACCACTTTTTTTCAATAGTTTTGAAAGTGACTTAAAATCTAACTGATGCTTAAAGAAAATATATAGACTAATTTTCGCTATTGTGGCCTTGTGTTCAACAGCCAGAATAGATATTTTAGACTACATGTTGTGATTCAATACCCAGAATAAAAATGATTTAATATGGAATAGGAGCAAATATTTTAAAATTTTTTTCCATACCTCATTTTTTTAGCATCTCAATCAGTGACTTAACTCCCATTGTTATAGTTAAATAACTACGCTAAGATGCTTACATCAATTATTTTAATGAATAATCTCGCTAACTCTGTCTTGTGTCATTTTCGAAAGGCAGTGTTAATAGATTAGACTACAAGAACTATTGAAAAACTGGGAACAAAGTACCGTCAGATTTAGCTCCCATATATATTTTCGTCCGATTTAAGGTAAATGGTGCGTCAAAGTCCCTAAATATCTTTCAATATGCACGAAATTTGGCATAGCGTATTGAATTGCGTCTAGAATGGCATGTGTTAAGTTTCGGGAAATTCGGTTAAGATTTAGATTTAGCTTCAATATATATTTTCGACCAATTTAATAGAAATGGTGACCAAAGTTCTTATATATATATATATATATATATTTCGTTCTATTTCATGTCAATGTTCTTTCGAAAAGGCGACATCTGTTAGGATACTATGTAGAATATACCCAAAGTGGTGTAGGGTATCATATAGTCGGCCCAGTCCGACATTATTACTTTCCTTACTGCTGGTTAGCATTTCAATCAGTGACTTAACTCAAATGTCATAGTTAATGAACTACGCTAAAATGCTTATATTAAATAATTGAATAATCTCGCTAATACGGACTTGTTTTTTCCTACAGAAAGTCGGTATTAATAGGTTAGACTACAAGCATTTGTAAAAATATTTCTGGTATGTTTTTTTTTTTTTTTGAAAAACAATTTTTCGAATATTCTGTTCTGCGGAAATTCTATAGCATTTCAATCAGTGACTTAACTTATTTTATAGTTAAGTAACTACGCTAAAATGCTTATATAAAATATCTGAATAATCTCGCTAATACGGACTTGTTTTTTGCATCGAAAGTCAGTATTATTAGATTAAACAACAAAGTCGTTAAATAGTCATGTTAATGCTTCCAGTTTCGGGATGCATTTTTTGTTTGTCTTACCATGTCAAGAACTTGGAAGCCAAGAGACATTTGGCTGCCAAGTTGCAAACCGTAAAATACTGATAGTAAAATTTAGTCACCTCTTATTATTATCTACAATCATTTCTGTGATATATATTTAATTATATGTATTGTCTTTTTCTCTTTAAGGAAAGAAAATAGAAATCAATTTTTTATAAAAAAAAAACAACAATAATAATTTTTTGTTATCCCTTTTTCCTCTTTTCATCACAGCAAATTGATTTACACTCCCTAAATCTACTCCTAATTGAATTGGAGTTAACCCTCACAGCATATGTGTCACATAAATCTCGTCTATTGGCGGCGCCACGTAAACTTATCGAAGAAATTGATAGTCTACCGGATCCACCACCACGATGTCCAACGGGAAAATATAAATTCCATATAAGGATACGTGATACTCGAGTGCAACAGAACATCAGTGCTCATAGTCAACAAATGGTAAAGGTGGGAGCAAGTCCTGCCATGAAAATGGAGGGTAATAAATTTGTACCCCTTAATGCAGCAGCAGTGGTGGCGGCGGCGTCCATTACTAACAACATGGGTTTTACATCGCGTGATATTGTTGAGACTGGAAGTAATCGAATTAATAAGCGTATCAACAATGTCATCAATCCAATTGGTGCGCCGAAATTGGGTCCCATTACACCTGGCTCGATAACAAGATCCTCTGTTCCTACAAATGTATCGTCGTCTACACCATCATCGTTGTCATCGCCCATGGGCGGCCCAACACCTGCCAAACAAATGCGTCTGCAAGATCCCCTGAGTTTGGATGACATGATGGTGGATAATATCAAAACGGAAAAGTTTATCGATGACAAGGCATTGGTAAAAGTTTTAGCACAACAAGTCAAGACCACCACAAATATTACTTCTACTGATGTTTCTACATTCAAGACTGAAGCTGTGGCGGCGGCTACTGCTGCTGATGAGGATAATACTTCGGAACTGGATCCCATTTTCAATATGTCGGAAATTTTGCAACAACGCAAAGAGCAAAGATTGGCTCGGCTGAAATTGATGGCAAATGTCAATAAAAGACGTACCGATGCCACACCCATCTATGGAGCCGATTGTCGTGAATCCATTGAACATTGTTCGGAGGGCAGTCGGCTGTTGCAGTATTCCACTTGGCAGACCAGAGGTTATACAAATTGCAACACTGCCATGCATCGTTCAAATGATAATTGGACCCTGAATAAAATTCTGAAAAATTATGAAAAACGTTGCCAGGACCTTAAACACATCTTTCAGAATTATGTTATCTATGTACCGTCCGCTTGTGCACCACGTATACGTTTCTATGTGAATAATTTGGCATCTGTACGCATGACTCGGGAACGTGCCATCGAGCAAACAATACAAAAGGAAATGTCACCAAAATTGGCGTTGTTACATCCCATCATATCGGCAATGACCACTCAATTCCCCGATCCACGTCTCATCCAATACGATTGTGGTAAACTGCAGACACTGGATGGTCTTTTGAAGCAACTCAAATACAATCATCATCGCGTCCTGATCTTTACACAAATGACGAAAATGCTGGATGTTTTGGAGGCATTCCTCAACTATCATGGCCACATTTATTTGCGTTTGGATGGTGCTACCAAGGTGGAGCAGAGGCAAATACTAATGGAACGCTTCAATACGGACAAACGCATTTTCTGTTTTATACTCTCGACACGTTCCGGTGGCGTGGGTATTAATTTAACGGGTGCAGATACTGTGATATTTTACGATTCAGACTGGAATCCCACCATGGATGCTCAGGCGCAGGATCGCTGTCATCGCATTGGTCAGACAAGAGATGTACACATTTACCGTTTGGTTTCGGAGAAAACCATCGAAGTGAACATCCTAAAGAAAGCCAATCAAAAACGAATGCTTAGTGATATGGCCATTGAGGGTGGAAACTTTACCACGTCGTACTTTAAGAGTTCCACAATTAAGGATCTTTTCAATGTGGATACACAGCAACAACAACAGGGTGAAGCGGCGGGAGCAGCAGCTGGTGTACCAGCTATTGCCTCATCTCAATCAAGTGAAACAGCACCTTCGTCATCGGCGTCATCAACTGTTGTCGAGAGCAATGAAATTGATTTGGAAAAACAATCGTTGAAGGCTTTCGAAAGTGCTCTTGCTGCTGCCGAGGATGAACAAGATGTCCAGGCGGCAAAAACGGCTAGAGCGGAAGCTGCTGCCGATTTGGCAGAATTTGATGAGAATATACCGCTGGAAGAAGTTGCCACAAATACTGAGGGTGGTGGCGCTAATGTTGAACTCAGTAAAGCTGATTTGGAAATGCAAAATTTGGTTAAACAGGTTAGTTGAGTTTTTAAAATAATTTGGTTTTACACAATGTGCAATGGGTTGCCAGTCGTTGGCCGAGAAGTACTGGGATTCTTTGGGATTGTAGACTCCGTTGTGGACGTAGTTGAAATTATTTTTGTCTTGGGAAACGTATTTGTATTTTATATATGTTTAAACATAAACAAACATTTTTTTCTTTGATTTACAGTTTGAAAGGTATTTAAAATATATTATATGGGCATTAAATATCTATTGTTGAAAAATATGTTATTCTTTGTTTTTGAACACGAATATTTTGAGTGCCCAGATAAATTCTCTCATTGACGTTCAGACATAGTTAAAGCGATTTGACTACGCTTAATTATATCACTCAACGTCATACAGATATCATTTGAGGAATTAAAAGATTAATTGATTTAATCGCATGGGTCATACACATAAGGTATCATTTTTATGGGGCATTTAAAAAAATTAAATTCGGAAATCCTGTGAACACCAATCAATGTTAAATTGTTGACAAAGTACAGATCGCATTTATTATCCGAATTAGATGAAATTGAACACAGCTCAATTATTTGGCCCAAGGACGAACCCTATTGAAATTGGGATAAATTGGTTCAGATTTAAAACTAGCTTCCATATTAACTTTCGTCCGATTTAATGTATATCGTGTACCAAATTCCCTATATATCTTTCGATTTGCGCCAAATTTGGCACAGCGTACGGTATTAAGTCTGGAAAGGTGTGTGTTCAGTTTAATAAAAATCGGTTTGGATTTAGATATAGCTCCCATATATATTTTCTCCCGATTTAATGTCAATGGTGTACCATAGTTCCTATATATCTTTCAATTTGGCACAGCGTCTAGAATGATGTGTGCTAAGTTTCGTGAAAATCGATTCAGATTTAGATATAGCTCCCATATAAATATTCCTTCGTTTAATGTAATGTAATGTAAATGCTGCACCAAAGTCCCTATATATCTTTCGATTTGCACGAAATATGGCATAGCTTATTGAATTGAGTCTAGAATGATGTGTGCTAAGTTTCGTGAAAATCGATTCAGATTTAGATATAGCTCCCATATATATTTTCTCCCGATTAAATGTAAATCGTGCACAAAAGTCCCTATATTTCGTTTGATTTGCACAAAATTTGGCATAGCGTACTGAATTTAGTCTGAAATGCATATATAGAATATACCCCCCAAAGTGGTGAAGCATATCATATAGTCGGCCCAGCCCGATTTGACTACTTTATTTACTGGTGTTGAACTTTGGCATTGAATGTTTAAAGTTGATCATTTTCATCATATGAATATAATTTTGAACACAAACATTTTATGCCTAGATTAAAAATTTTTAATTATTAACGTTCAGACATAGTCGAAGCGATTATATACCACGCTCGATTATATCACTCAACGTTAAACAGTTTTGTGTCAAAAATATTTTGCAATAATACATATTTATTTTAATAATTATATAACAAGGTCATTTAGGTAATTTATAACCTATTCTCTTTTATTAATTCGAATTTTTTGTACTGATATTTATTACTTTGTGGCACTAAATGTTTAACGTTTTTAATTTTCTCTATTTTATGGGTATATAATTTGAAATATAAACATTTAATGCCTATATAAATATGTAATGTTTTAATTATTTTTAACGTTCAGACATAGTCGAAGTGATTATTACCCACACTCGATTATATCACTCAACGTTAAACTGTTTTCTTTATTTTTTTTAATTCTTAGTTCGATTTTTTTTTGGCATTGGAATATTTAATGTTGAATGCCGTCTCATCCTCTACAGGGAATTGACATTGAACGCAAATATTTAATGCCTAGATGAATTATTAATTTTTTTAATTGACGTTCAGACATAGTTAAAGCGATATTTCCCACGCCTGATTATATCACTCAACGTTAAACAATAATTACTTATATGACCAGAATTTGCTACCGACCCAATCTCTTGTTTTGATTTCCATTGAAAGGCCTTATAATTTTTCAAAATTTTTAATCCAAATTCGAATCACTTTATAATAAATTTGTTTGTTTTTTTATTCTCCTTTTTACAGCTCTCACCCATCGAACGTTATGCTATGCGTTTTGTGGAAGAAACCGGTGCCGCTTGGACCGCGGAACAATTACGTGCCGCCGAAGAAGAACTCGAGGCGCAAAAACGTGAATGGGAAGCCAATCGTTTGGCCGCCCTACAAAAGGAGGAAGAAATGCTCAAGCAGGAAGCGGAAAATGATGAAATGTTGACATATTCACGGAAGGATGCCACAAATCAGGTTAATAGACAAAAAACTAATGTTAAGACTAATAGCAAAAGAACAAATATGGCTAGAAATCGTGATAGGGGTTCCGCTACTGCTGCCAATAATAAACGACGGCGTTTACAACAGCTACGTAACAGTAGAAATGTAAATGCACGAACCTCAACTAGAAGGGGTGGGGCGGCAGCGGCGGAAGCGACGGATGGTGATAACACCAGACGTAAACGTCGTATAAGTAGTAGGCAACAACAACAGCAGCAGCAACAACAACAGCAATTAAATGTACAAAAGAATAGTCGTAACAGGACTACCTCTAGCGTTGATAGGAGTAGACAGCGACGGCAGCAACAACAAAAACGTGGCCGGACGACTAGACTTAGCGGTGGAATTAGGAAAGATGATAGCCAGGGAGAACAAAGTGAAAATAATGACGATTCGGAGGAGGAAGTTAGGGAAGAGGGGGATGATTCAAATCAAAGCGAACTTGAAGATGATCATGAGGAAACGGCAGTTAGTGGTAGTGAGAATAATGAGGATACAATGGAAGAAGTTGAAGATGAGGATGCGGATGATGATGAAGACCAAGAAGATGGTGATGAGGAAAATGATACTGAGGAGAATCTGGAGGAGGGGACCGAAAACGAGGAAGATGATAATGAGGTTAGCAATGCCGATGAGGACGAAGACGAGGACAATGAAAATGACCATGAACAGGAATCTAATGATGAGGACGATGTAGAAGATGATCACAATCAAAATACCGAAGATGATGGTGGTGAATATGAAAGTCAACAACTGAGTCGTCGTAGTAGATTAAGATCCTTACGTGGTAGTTTTACTAAGAAATCTCCAAAGGTTATGCGACGCAAATCATTGCGTCAATCTTTGGATACCAGCTCTTCCCATGCAACCAATAGAAAGACCACACGCACATCAATGGCTGCAGCAAGGGCAGCAGCGGGTAATCATCGCAGCCAGCTAAGTGAAAGAAGGGCTACGGTTGGTGGGCAAAATTCAAATACAAGGCGTAGCAGAACAACGACTGGCGGTAGTAATTCCGGGGGTCCTGTAAAAACCGGTGTTAAAAATCAAAAATTGCTTAGTTTTGCCCGTAAACGTTTACGTAAACGTCAACAAATGGCCAGCACAAGAGATCATCAGGCGGCGGATGCCACTCTGAAAAGGAAAACTAGTTTAAGTCCGGGTAAGACACCACCAGTCAAGAGGAGAAGAGCAACCATGGTGCAGCCGCGTAAGGGTGTTAGACATAGCCCTAGGAAAGCAGCTCAAAAAGAAGAACAACATGATGAAGACCCCGAGCAAGAGGGTGAAGATGATGAGGACAAGGCAGATGAAAGTGAAAATAATGATGAGGAAAATAATCAAGATGGTGATGATGATGAACAGCATACAATGGAGGAAGATGAGGAGGATGATGAGCAGGAGCAAGAGGGAACGGAGGATGACCAGGACCATGAAGAAGATAACGACGAAGAAGAAAAACCCAAACCCTCAAATCGAAACTATTTACGTTCCCGCCAACAACCAGTCTTGCGGTCAAGAGGTGGCAAAACAATGAAACCCCAGGATGATGACGAATCAGATGAGGATAATTCCACAAATAAAAAAGGCAAAGATGGCGAGGGCGAGGAGGATGAAGAAGAGGAAGATGATGAAAAATCTTCATATGCCACAGCTGGAGACAATATGGAAGAAGATCAGCGGCATCAAATGGAACTGGCCGGTGGTGGTAATTCCAGTAGTATGGATGCCTGGAATGTTCACAATCAGGCTCAAGATACCACCACAAATTCCACATATTATAATGTCTCCGATGAATCGGATAGTGAGGACAATGAGATCACCCTAGGAGGAGGAGGAGCAGGAGGTGCAAGTCTTAATTCAACGTTGAAGAAAACCCCAATGGGCAGTGTAAGAAGTTTACGTTCCAATATTGCAAATGCAGCTGGAGGCAATTCAGATGCCACCATTTCCTCCAGCACACCGCAACGTAATGATAACAATCATACGCCACGCACACGTTCAAGGGGTTCGGTTAAAATTAATTTGTGGAAATTGGATGATAGTCCGGTTTTACCCTTATCGGGACACCATCATCATCACCAAGGAGGGGCATCTTCAAGTAGACATCATAAGACTCATCAGAATGCGGATGTGGATGAGACGGCCACAACAAGTAGCCCCAATAAGACTCCTTCAACTGCTGGTACAAATAAACGTCTGGGTCATGCTGCCACTAAAACCGCCAATGAAACACCAACTAAATCGTCGGGAAATATAACCACCCTACATCGTTGGCTTTTGAAAACTCCCCGATCAACAACGACGACGGGTAATAATACTGGTAGCCAGCAACAATCTTCAAATGGTTCATCACCCGCCACAGGAAAATCATTATCAGGGAATGAGACGTCGACATCATGATGAAAATGGTTTGCCCAGCAAAGGAATAAAATTTGGCCCATTGCCATTAGTAGACATTGCACGCCGCAGGAGATTGAGGAAGACGAATAGTATTAATTACTCTTCGAATTTTAAAGCTCTTCTGCCCGCTGCTGCACATATGTCCAATTGATGTGGGAGTGTAAAAACTTTTTATAGGCTGGAAAAAAGCGATGAGGGGATAAATAGTGATTTCTTTACCAAAAACTACCATGAAGAAATTTAGTTTTTCTCTCTCATTATTTTAGTATCAACACTGTGGGTAGTGAGTGGGTTTTCAATATTTCTTTGGTTATTAACAAAAAAACTTGTATCAAGTTTAATTGTAAATTTCCACAAACAAGTTTCTATTTTTTTATTAGGTCTAGTTTATAAATGCCAACCCTTTCTTGCTTCCTTCCGTCTCTTCCCCCATTAATAATGGGGTTATTTTGTTATTTTAAATACTCGGATCCTATTGAGATACATTAAATTTTAATATATTGAGCTTTCAACATCATTATTCTCACATTTTGCATTCCTCAGATTGTCTATTTATTTATTTTTTAATTTTGTAAAAAAAGAAATAAACATCAGAAGTAGTTGTGAACAGAGTATGAGAGCGAACGAACGATAGGGTCCTATCAACACTATAATGTTAGAGTTTTATTTTTTTTCTTTCATTTGGACCATGTAACATGTTTTCATCTTGTAAATATTAAAAGTAAACAAACAAAATAAATCATAATATAATATATTTAATAATAACTAGAATTATCAATTAAAATAAAAAACAACAACAACAAAATACGAGTATAGTTAGATTTAACAAACTGAACATTAAAATACGTATAAACAAAAAATTAAACATACGATTTTTTGTTGAGAAGAGAGGGTAAAAAGCAAATAAACCGGAAAACAGATTAGTGTTATTAAAAAAAAACCAACCACCACATCCCCATCTTTTTATATATACATTCACTTTTATATTTTTAAAATATTAAGTTATCTATATACATACATTTTTTAAGTTCGTGGGATGCCAATATGGGGAAGTGGAAAACAAAATTGATTGAAAACATCAACAATGATTTTGAAAACAGAAACACATGACTCTTAGAAAAAATTTTTTTGGGTCTCAATACACAACACAGAAAAGAAAATGGTTTCGTTGAAACAAAAAATAAAATGTTAAAAATGCCAGAAATTCACATTCACAATAAAATTAGCATTTATTTCACAACAATAATTTTCAAAATTAAAGGACTTATTTTCCAGTTTTTAATCAGAAATTTTAGTTGGAAAACCGATATTTTCACTTGTTCTTTTTTGTAAAATTGTGGTTTTCACGGAAAATGTCTTGTGTATTATTTTAGACTCAAAGAGTGATTCTTGTTCAAATATATTCAAAACCAAAACAAATGTTGTCCATGTAAAGTATTATTTATTTTAAGAATTGCGAAATTGTCTATAGTCAGTAATTGTAAAAAATATTAACACTTTTGGAATATTATTCTAAATTATATAAAAATTATCAATTTTTTTTTTGTTAAAATACTTTACAAATTTCAGTTTTACATTGACCAAAATTTAGTGTATTTCATTCTGTTCATTTTTAGAGAATATTGTTAAACTTTCCGAAAAGGTCAAAAGTATTATAACACAAAAAAAAAAGAAACAAATTAAAAGTTAGGTTTCTGTTTTCAAAATTTAATATATATATAGTTATCCACATAATATGAGAGATATTGTTTTCCTTTTCCCATGTCCACATATCCCGGTTTTCAAAAGTATACCAACAAAATTGTTATTTCATTATTATTAATTTTTTTTTGTTATTAAGTTAGAATTTAATAAGATTTTAGTTTTCCCTGCACACACAGATTATAATTTTATATATAGTGTATACTCTTTAACAAGGAAAAAATGATGGACTTGTGTATTTTGTTAATTTATATACGAAAAAAGTAAAACAGAAATAATCCCCAGTTTCTATGAATAAAAACTCAAGAAACTACAACATATTTATTATTAATTTATGTATAAAAAAACTAAAAATAACAAACAAACAGACTCCTTATTATATATAGTTTAAAAAAAAAAGTACAATCAGATCTTACCACCATTTCATGTAAAATGAAATTATGGATGGTATAAACTGAGCTCTGTTGTATTTAAACCTAAAAGAAAACAAAAAACTGAAATTATCTCTAAAAAGAAAACAAACAAAAAAGAACAACCAATAAAGGCTTTTAAGAAAATAACCTAAAAAAATAATTAAAAAATAAATCAAAAAAGTGTTTTATTTATTTTTTCCGGTCAACAATGAAATAAAACAAAAGTGAAGACAATTTTGAAAGAAAAGAAAAAAAGACTAGAATTTACAAAAAATCTTTGGCCCTTTGACTCTATTTTTTAATTAACATTCCAAAAAAGCAACCAAAACCAAAAAAATAATCCAAACAAAATATAGTGAACTTAAAAAAATATAGAAAAAAAGAAAATTCTGCAATTACTCCAAACAAAAATATTATTTTCTTCTAAATATACTCTATTACAAAAAAAAATGTAAACAATGTAAATCTGTTTTGGTGTCAGAATATTTCTTAAAAAAATAATAAAATTCTATGGAAAGTTTGGTAATGGCAAATTAAAAATATCATTTAAAAAAAAACATTTGTTATTTGACCGGGGCACCAAAACAGTTAAATCATTTATTTTTCCAAATTTTTATAAACCAGATTTTGTAGAAAACAATATTTTTCAAAATTAATTTTGCCATTCCCAAACGGCCTTAGATTTGTTATTTTTTTCTTTGATTCCTCAAAAAAAAATTGTTTTTTGCTGCTGTTTTTTCAAACTGTTGTGCTGTGAAAAAATAAATAACATTTTTTTATTAACAAACAACAATGAGATATCTCTCTTTGTAACGAAATCACCAAAACAGTTCTTTTGCGCTTAGTTCTAAACAAACTGAAAAAGAAAATAATATTTTTTTTGTGTGTGTAATAATCAACAAAATTTTCTTTTCTTCTTTATTTTTTTTCCGGAAAATGTGTACTTGCTCTGCCCACTTTTTCTACTACTACCTACCATCAACAATCAATGCCTGTTTGTCCCCCACAAAAAACAATTTTTCGCTCATCTCAACATTGTCTTCACTTTATGTGTGTGTGTGCGTGAACGCAAACATCAATAGATATGGATTTCGGCGAATACCATGGAACAAATGCCGGTAAGTAGAATCTTTTTTTAATTAAATTTTAAATTGTTGGAGATTACACATTTAAGAGATGCTACCTAACAGACCTCGAATTTTTGAAGGACCATTGACATGAAATTGGACTAACTTAAATATTTGATCTCTGTGTCTATATGTGAACCGACTTAACCCTACGATCAATAACGGGGTAACTATGACCCTTTTTATACCCTCCAACATAGTGTGGAGGGTATATTAAGTTTGTTCTTCGTTGAATATGAGCGCTATATTGGTCCACATTTAGGCATGGCCCCAAATTCACCAATTCACCCCAATTGTCGATATTTTGGGGTTCTTGAGCGCGCCATTCAATGTCTCCACTGAAAAGAATAAATATCGGAAAATTCAATAAAACTTGACACACATTAGGCTATTCTAATTTTAGTACGTTGTGCAAAATTTCGTGCCAATTTAGACCTAAATTTGACCCTTTGGTGCACCCTTTGCTAAAAATCGGACAAAAATATATATGGGAGCTATATCGAAATCTGAACTGATTTTCGTAAAACTAAGCACACATCATTTTAGATTTAATTTAGTGTGCTATGCCAAATTTCGTGCACATCAAAAGATATTTAGGGACTTTGGCGCACCATTTACCTTAAATCGGGCGAAAATATATATGGGAGCTATAACTAAATCTGAACCTATTTCCACGAAACTTAGCACACATCATTCTCGACTAAATTTAGTACGCTATGGCAAATTTCTTGCAAATCGAATTATACTTAGGGACTTTGGCGCACTATATATCTTAAATCGGACGAAAATATATATGGGAGCTATATCTACATCTGAACCGATTTTTATCAATTTCAATAGGGTTCGTCCATGGGGTAAGTAAATGATCTTTGTCAAATTTTATCCCATTCGGATAATCGCCCATGTGCTGCATTTCGAGTTTGCTCGAATGTGAAACATTTTCCCAAATTTGGTGTGCTCCATTCCGAATTCCCAAAAAAATATTGGGAATATAATTCGAGCACATATAGCCTTGTGGATTGAAAAGGATATTGAAACTTAACACACAGTCAAAAAGAACGCTGAAGTAATATTTAGCGTGTTTTTAAAATATTTATTTAAAAAATAAAGTATTTACATTAGTTTTTATAGTAAAATTAAAGAAAATAAAAAAGGGCTCATTTTATCAAAAACAGCGCGTAACATTTTTGAGATCAATCTGGAAACCCAACCACCATATGATCAAAATAAAAATAGAATCTATAAAAAATCTACTTTTATGATTTCCAATAATACTTTTAATAAAGTTTCTTGCAGATGTGTGCCCTTTATTATAATTGACAAGATCCATGCTCCACTTGTTTATAGGGCGTCATCAAAAATGTGGCTAAAGCGTAACCACTTTCCTAGAAGCCAACTATTTTGCATACCATTTCCTCTTTTGTTTATGCTGCCTAGCTGCACTCATATGCCAAATAAAAGCATCATGGCTGGATCCTGGTCTGCAGTTGTCCACAGCTTGCACACACTTTGTCTTCCAGGGCTTTCATTACTCTCCACAATATTTTACACATTGTTGTGCGATCAACACTTATATTTGAATCATTTGCCACTACCCTCTGAAACCCACCAACAGCCAGAAATCTTTGCTGCTAACTGCAGGCTTTCGGGAATGGTACCCTTGTGTATGAAAGGACCAACTTCTCTCAAAATATCCATAAATGCTTATTTTAACACGTTCCAGTATCATTAGACTTTTTCTGGTAGAAACCAGGGCAATTAATAAGCCAGCAAGCATATTTTTTCTTAATTTTGTTGTTAAACAAATTGCAAATTCCAATGAAACATATGTTTTTTTATTGAACACATTTCGTAACATATTAAACACAGCTATGCTTTCGAGCCGCACTTTCGCTCGAAATTGAGCACACCATTTTGCACAACATGGGAATTTAAAAAAGTATGGGAATTCAAAAACTCTCGGAACATGTCACATGGGCGAATAAATATGATCTGCACTTTGTTTACAATTTAACATGGAGAGACAGAAATCCACTCAGAAAGTGATTCTATGCATATTCCCAAAAGGAACCATGGGGTGTAACACAGTGTGGTGAAGGGTATAATTAACCTCTACCGACTTTTTTTAAAGAGTTTTTCGGTGTTATAGAGTCTAAAACGATTCCATTAAAGAGTCAAAGTCTCTGACAGTTTAGGTACTAATTTAAACACAATAAGTGTTCATTTTTTACCCCAGAAAGATATTATTTTCTATAATTTTTCGAAGACCCCTTTTCGTATTGTGTCTCTTCCGTGTCAATTTGAATACATACTAAGTTTTTTTTTTTTAATTTGTAACAATCTTAACCATGTATTCATATTTTTATTTTTTGTTTTCCCCAGATGTGGTGTCCACCAACTCCACCGCAAGATAACGATGACATCTACATTGATTATTCGCTAACATTCTTATACGACTTGGAACCCATACCGGAAACCGAGCTACCACCAGTCTATATTAAGAAGGAATATAAACGTTCACGTTCCGATGCCGGTTTCCTTGTCGATGGCAATAAGCGACCAGCAAAAATGCGACGTGAAGAAATGTTCTGTGCTCCTAGATCCCTATTCGATCGTCCATCGGCAGCTATTGCTCGTATTCGTCGTGATCTCAAAAATCAACGTTATCGGGGAACTTTTAAACCGAATGTACAAATACCCGGTCTTAAGCCACAAATTCCCCAAAAACCCATACCCGAACCTGAGGGTATGGCTGAATGGTGTATATACGAAGATATAGCCATCCTACATGTTCTGGTGAATCTACAGGGTTTACCCTGCAACCTGATGTTGCTGTCTCCCGGCCATACACCCAATTGGGATTTGGTGGCGGAGATTGTAAATGCCTATTCGAAAACGTATAGATCACCTAAACAGTGTAGATGGCGTTATGAGAATGTTATACAACCACGCGAAGAGGGTAAACTCGTCGAGAGTCCCAAGAAGCAGAAGAAACTGAAGTCCATGAAAACGGAATATCTTAAGAGTCCGTTGAGGTGTCTGAGAACGACCCAATTGTATACGAACGACAACAATGCTTCGTTTACGAAAATTATGAAGGGGCGATTTGATTGCATTAAGGCGGCCTATTTGAAGAAGGCCCCGGCGCCTAAACGTCACTTTAGCACACCGAGTATGATGAATCCGAAACACATGGAAGTGTTGCAGGAGTTTGGTATTGTGAATTATGATCAACCGATAACACCACAGAATATAGCGATAATGAAGGCGAATAAAATGCGTGAGAAGCAGAGAACACAATGTCCACCGCCACCACCACCAGTTGCAAGTGCTTCGGCAGCGGCATCATCTGGTGGACAGCAACAAAATGTTGCATCGGCAGGTGGTGGCCAAACGCAACAGGGACAATGTTGTGTCACCACAACAAGCGGAGTTAATGTAGTGCAACAGCAACAACAACAAACGCCACAAACTGCTGCCTCCACACATTTGCAGGAATTGGTACAGCAGCAGCAACAACAACAGCAGCAGGTGCAACAAGTGACCACCTCAGCTCCTCCAGGTTTGCACCCCCAACAATTGCAAATACATCAATTGGCTGCCGGACAATCGGCATCACAACAACAAACGGCCACGGCGATAGTTCTACAGCATGCCACGGGCTCAGGTGGCACACAACAATTGCAACAACAACAAACGGTAGTTAGTGGAACAACCACCCAACAGCATTTGATTCGACATGGCAATACAACGGCCACCCAAATTGTCAAGGCCATTGTGGCTCCTGGAGGTCAAACCACGGGTATTCTAACAACGGGACAAGTTCAACAACTACATCAGCAACAACAATCGCAAAATAACCAGGGCACTTCGGCTCAGGTTGGACAACATGTTCAAATCCAGCAACAGAACACTGCCAGTGGTAACATGGTGGCACCACCTCTCTCCGTATCGGTGGTCCTCACCCAACCCGTACAGACGATATCGTCCAATGTACAAAATCAAGTGGCGCATCATTCACAAGTGTCTTCATCGACAGCCCAGATTGTATCCCTTTCACCTCAAACCATCGTCTCCAGTTCAGCACAAGTGGGTAGTATTGTGCATACCCAGTCCATGCCACAAGTGGTATCAGTTTCACAACTGGCCACAGTTGGTACCGTCCTAACCACATCCAGTGGAATGCAACAGCCTACAGGTACCGTGACCACCCTTAACACATCTGCCTTGAGAGCTCAACGCATTGTAGCAGCCTCCAGTGGTAATACCCTGCAGGATGTGGTGTTACAGCAGCGTACCGCTGGCAATCCCAGTCCCACAATTGTTTCAATGTCCAGTTTGGGATCAAATGTCGGACAGGCTTCCTTACAGGCCACTCAATTCCAATTGGCTTCCATGCCAACGGGCACACAACAAGTTGTTACCAAGGGTATACGAGTTAGTTCTCTGCAGCAGGGTCAGAAGTTGGCAACTGGTGGTGCTGTTGGAACTACGGCACAAGGACAACAATCTGCTCACATACAGTCCTACAGACAACGACAACAACTCAAGGTGTTGCAGACCACTGGGCCCGGGCAGCAGGGTCAGCCGACAATTGTGCAGACACCTTCCGGCCAGGCAGCCTTAGTCAACGCTCAAGGTACCATAATTGGAACAGGACCCACAACGGTCCAGGTGGTGCAAGGACAAAAGGTAACCGTCGCCACTTCAAATGTGGCTGTTACCACACCAAGTGCAACGGGAGTTGTAACGACGGTGGCCAATCAAATGCATGCCCAACAAGTGCAACAAACCCGTGCCCAATTCATAAAACAAGTTTCGGCATCGGGAAAACAAATCTTCGCCCGTCAAGTAGGCGATAGTGATATGCTACTGGTCAAACGTCAAATGATATCGGCGGCAGGTCAACAAAAGGCTACCCAAGTTATACAACAAGGTGGACAAATATATACCACAACGGGCCAAGGTATAACATTACAACAAGCAGCTCAAGGTTCTTCATCTGGTGGAAACCAGGTGCAGCAACAACAGGGACAACCGGGGCAACAACAAACCACAACACAGGTTGTACAACAGGTGACACCTCAACAAATTGCCACATTGGTGAAGACATCTGGAGCTTCCGCGGGAGGTAACGCTGGACAGGGTGGTGTTACAGTCAATACGGCTGGGCAACAGCAACAGACCCAAAATACCGTGAACATGGCCCTCTCGCAACTTAAACCTGGTGGTCAAATCAAAGTGACCATGGCCAATCAATCCCAGATGCGTCAATTACACATGCAACAACAACAATTGGCGGCAATGCCAAGGAAAATATCACGAATGACACAAATTCATGCCGCCCAAGCGGCAGCAGCTGCTCAGGCGGCAAATCAACAACAGCAGCAACAACAGGTTCAAGGGACTACCACCTCAATGACACAATCGTCTCAATTGCAGCAGCAGCAACAACAACAACAGGGCGGTCAAAAACAAGGGGGATCCGGTGGTACTGGCGCAAGTTCATCCGGTTCCGGTGGAGTTCAAACACAATTGGTTCACATACAAAATACTAAAAATCTATCCTCGTCTGTAACCGTCCAACAAATACAACAAGTGATGCGTCAAGGCCAACCGGGTTCGCTCGCCACCACTGGTTTTGTTTTGGGTAAAACCAGTGTCGGCCGGGTTATACCCGTTTCGGTAGCATCACAACCGAATCAGCGTCAGACAATACAGGTAAGAAGGGAGTATACGTGCAATATATTTTCCATAGATGGAAAAAGTTCCTTTAAAAAATATTTTTTTTTTAAATCCAAGCATCGGGGAGACCTTTATTTTTTATTTAATACTTAAAAAATTTATTAAAAAAATTAAAAATCCTCTCTCGGATAGTCCTTAAAATTTTATTTAAAAACAATTAAAAATTCCCGCTCGGATAGTCCTTAAAAAACAGTCCAGCAACAGAACATTGGCAGTGTTCTGTTAATAATTTTTTTTAATTTTTAATAATTAATAATTTTTAAAAATTATTTAAACATTTTTAAAAATTCCCATCTCGGATAGTCCTTAAAAATTTTTAAAAATTCCCATCTCGGACATGTATTAAAAAAATTAAAAATTCCCGCTTCAAATAGTCATTAAATTTTTTTTATTTAAAAATCTACGCCTTGGATAGTCCTTAAAATTTTTTTATTTAAAAATCTACGCCTTGGATAGTCCTTAAAATTTTTTTATTTAAAAATCTACGCCTTGGATAGTCCTTAAAATTTTTTTATTTAAAAATCTACGCCTTGGATAGTCTTTAAAATTTTTTATTTAAAAATCTACGCCTTGGATAGTCCTTAAATTTTTTTATTTAAAAATCTACGCCTTGGATAGTCCTTAAAATTTTTTTATTTAATAATCTACGCCTTAAATAGCCCTTAAATTTGTTTATTTAAAAATCTACGCCTTGGATAGTCCTTAAAATTTTTTTATTTAAAAATCTACGCCTTGGATAGTCCTTAAAATTTTTTTATTTAAAAATCTAATTTTTTTTTTATTTAAAAATCTACGCCTTGGATAGCCCTAACATTTTTTTTTATTTAAAAATCTACGCCTTGGATAGTCCTTAAAATTTTTTTATTTAAAAATCTACGCCTTGGATAGTCCTTAAAATTTTTTATTTAAAAATCGACGCCTTGGATAGTCCTTAACATTTTTTATTTAAAAAATTATTTTAAAATGTACGCCTTAAATAGTCATTAAAAAAATATTAATTTAAATTATTACATAAATTCTAACCTCCATTCTATTCTTTCCTCTCCAGGTGGTTTCAGCAGCGTCAGCTCAAGCTCTAACTGCTGGCAATTTGAGGGCTCATGTGGCAAGCGGACAAAATATAGCCGGTACTATTAAAGTTGCCACATCGGGTGGTGGTTCACAATCGCAAACCCAGCAAGCCATTATAACAGCTATACAGCAACAACAACAAAATCAGCGACAAAATGCCAGTCCGGTACGATTGCAAACAACGGCTGGTGGCAATTTGGTTGCTGTTGTACAGCAACAGTCTTTGCAACAGCAGCAACAACAACAGCAACAAACCACACAAAATGTTGTGGTTAGTTCTTCGGCAAGTGGTAGTGGTGGTAGCAATGCCGGTGGTAACAACAATCAAACCGAAATAATGACCATTACCTCGTCGGGAACAACATTGACCACGGGCACACAACAACAAACGCAACAAGCCACACCTCAGCAGGTCAGGACATTGGTTAAAAAGAAAATAATGCAAATACGCAGTGAAAATAAGGAATGAATTTAAAACAACAAATAAAAAAGGGATACTAAAATATATTTTTTAAATTTTCAAATATTGTTGGGGCCTTATTAATAATCTTGTGACCCCCAATACAACGACAAGTATTATTCGTTTTAACGTGTTTTTTTTCTACTAACAGAATTTAAATATTTATTCTATTTTTTTTAATTAAATTTTTGGTTTCATTTATTTGGTTAGAGGTGTGTATAAAATAATAGTTAAACCCCTAATAATAAAAAAATAATACTTAAATATATAAAGAAAAAATTAACTGTAATAAAGCTTTAGTTTATAAACAATTAATCTCTATAATGTCTACTTTTTGTGTATGGCTTTAGAGCGAACCATATTTTTTAAAGTTAATATTAGTGTCTATTTCATTTTAGTTTAAAATATTTTATCAACAAATGAACAAACAAGCAAACAAAATCTATGAAAGAAACATAAAATACATAAACCATTTTCCAAATTGAACTCTTTGTAATTTATATTAAACTCATATTTTAGTTAACCTAAAAAAAATTCAAATCTTTTTTTTACATCTCTGTTCTAGTTTATAAAGAAACAAGGAAAATGAAACAGTTATAAATATTTTAAATGTAATAGTATTTAAATAATTATCTCTAATAATATTTGTCCTTAATTACTAAGGGCACTCTACATTATATAATGTAAATTACTTTAAAATTACATATTAATAAATATATAAATAAATAAAAAAACATAAAATCTTAAAACTATATACAAAAATAAAAATTTGGAGTTTCAATTAGTAACAACCGTCCACTCGGAGACTAATGTCCATTGTGATCATCCTTTTTTACCTGCAAAGAGAAGAAAAGAGGAAGTGGAAGAGCAAGGAGAAATAATAGCGGAAAAATGGTTATTTTAGCCATGTCCGATTTTTGCCAAAGCCTAGGATCTAGTTAGGGTCTTTTTTAGAGAGGAAGGCTAGATTATCAATTTCATATTTTCCAAACTGTTTATGTCTTCTGCCAATCACTGATTGAATTTACAGAGGATATGTTTAATTGTTTTTAGTTCTTCTTCATCCTCACATAGACGACAGTATCCTCTCCGCTGTAGTCTCAGTGAGAGATCTAATCTTGCAGTGACCTGTTATGATCCCCACACTGATTTTGATCTCTCTCTTATTATGTGTCAGCGGCGAAGACGTTCTTTTGCGAGAGAATCCATTATTTCCATTATTATGCCAAAGTGTATATCATCTGGACCAGGAGACTTATAGGTTTGGAAACTTTTTATCGCCCATACAAGTTTTGGGTAGCTTATAGTATTTTCTACCAACATCTCCTCCTCCCTCGTTCGAACTATAGGCTGATGTGCACACTGCGCACCCTCCCTATAGTCCTTACAACCAGGAAAGTGTCAAGAGTCAGAGTTTGCCAGAGTTTGTCCACGTTCCATCACTTCGCTTTATACTACCTATAGATTTTGGATTTTTAGATAGTACTCTGCGAAATCTTGCCGCTTCGTTGACTTCTTCGATTGACTCACTATAGCAGACCCAAGACTCACGTTTAGCCTTCTTGATTTCGCTCTTGAACCTGCTGCACTGAGTTTTGTCTTATGCTTCCCTTGCAGCCTTCCTCAAGGATGCAAGGTTTTGTGACCACCATACCGGCTGGACAAGAAGCCTCATATCTCATAAGGAAGAGTAGCCGTAACATTGTTCACAGCTTCTTCCATGATTGAGGCTGCTGTTTTTGCTTTGAATTTGTCCAAGTTTGTTTTCGAGGATTCCTATAAGGCTTCTGTTTACCTCTGGAGGTAGGAATCTGGAAAGATATCAGTCTATGATCCGAAAAGGATCATTTCTCAGATACTTCCCAGTTCATAACCCCAGAGTCGTCCATATTAGTGAGGGTTATGTCAATGACTTCACCTCTCACTCTATTAACAAACGTTGGTGTGTTGCCCCTATTACAAATTCTAAGATTATAGCTAAGTATAAAGTCAATAATGGACTCACTTCTCGTGGTGGTGTTACTGCTTCCCCAGTGGAAGTGATGTGCATTGGCGTCACACCCGATGATGAGATCACTAATTTTGCCCATCCTCCATTAGGCGGCTTCTATACCGGTCGGGTCAGAAGCCTCATATAGACGATAGACGGCAGAGACTATCAGGAGTTTCGAGATACCCCTATCCAGCCTGACTGTCGTCATATCTCCATTGCAGAAATTGGAAAGAAGCATTAAATTCAGCTCTTTGTGAAGCAGTTTAGCGGCTGCTGCTCTACAGTGATGCAGATTAATCTGCACCACATTTAGCGCTTGCTGCTGTCTGCTTATTGTTTTGGTGGTGGGAGACGGAAACAATGTTTCCCCATCCCATAACACAACTCACGGGGCGAGGATTCTCCACCTCCTCTTCTGAAGGCCGTTGTTCTGCTTTTCCACTAACCTTTGTGTGTTCTCCAGTCCATTAAAAGGTGGTGGGATCCACACAGAGGTTACCATTGCGCTTGGTATCTCTTGGACCGCTATAAATGCCAGTCTACTACCTTCCCAAAGAGAGTCTAGGCTGTTAGTTGTCTTCTTAAGGAAGTCCACAGTCTCCTTAGTACGACAACCTTGACCCCTTTGTATAAGGGGGTCTGGCAAAACCGTAGGCTCTGTCGATCAACCACGTTCGATAGGAAGAGGTCCTTCAGATAGCTGTCGACCAGCAACCATTTATCTTCGCTGATGACCCCGTCAGGGTCAGCTCGGTCCATAATTGCTACTCGCAGATCATCCGGTACCTCCTGTAGAGCAGCAGAGCGCCGTTGTAGGTTTTTGGGCTACCTGCAGGGTTCTCTTTCGACACTACGACCGACGCAAACGAAGCAGAGCTTTGTGCAGCAGGTTGTTCTCCGAGGACCTCTTTCTCTTGACAGTTGTGGGCTGTGGCCGAGATTTGGCACCCGGGGTTGCAACCGCCGCAGAGATAGGCCCAGCCGACGCAGGCACCTGCTTCGCGCTCGCTACCTTCGGCGCATCCACTAGCAACTGCCCAATTGTCACAGCTTTGGGTATCGGCTTTGGTAATTCGACATAGGTGAATTGGTGTGCCTTATCGGGGACTTTAAAAGATATTTATTTAAAAATCCACAATACCTTATGGGGGCTTTTAAAAGTATTTATTTAAAAATCCATGCTATATGATGGTTTAAAAAAATATTTATTTAAAAATCCACGCCTTATGATGGATTTAAAAAATATTTATTTAGAAATCCACGCCTTATTGGGGACTTAAAAAATATTTTAAAATTAAATTTTATTATTTGTATATATAATTGTTTTTATTTTATTATTAAATAAATAAAATATCCCATTTCTTTTACCACCATATACCCAAATCACTAAACAACTCCTCCGACGAGGGTAACTTAAAATCTTCATTTAACCATTCCGATTCATTGTCATCCCGTTTCTCTTTACAACCATATTCCTTTTTGTAACCCATTTTACGTAAATCTTCAGCATCATCATCATCGGCATCCTCCTCATCATCTTCAACAGCTTCCAGAGTTGTGGATTTCTGAAAGGGTTTCAAACGTTTCACTGCACCCGTGGTCGATTGCATAGGTTTAACATTCAGTATATCATGCCATGTTTCCATAGTAAGATCGGGTTTATTTTCAATTTCAACTTTCTGTGCTACTGGTTGAGATTCTGTTTTCACTTCCATTATACTGCTGCTGCCGGCCAATTGTTTGGCGTCATTCGATGCCAAACGTACGATACGATCAAAGAATGTGGCAAAATGTTTACGAAAACGTGTATAATCGAAAGTGTCCTGGCTGGCGGTGGCATCGATCATGTTATTTTGAGTGTTGGAATTTTTCGAGCGATTTAAGGGACCATAATGATGTAGCATATCAATACCGGCTGCCATTGATTCTTCCCAGCTCTGAAATTTATAAACATTTGGTAAATATCAAATTTGAATCATTCGAAAATCGGCCTACCAATTCAGTCCAATCTTCGGTGGGTGTGGTAAGCACAGAGCTGACAACTTTCACAATTTTCTCCTCCAGATTGAGACAGGAAATAATGATTTTCGCAACTACCAAGGCACAGGATAAATCACAGCGTTGTCTAAAAGTATGCGAACATATTTTAGAAATTAATATATTTTTAGGTTATGTTGATATAACTATGATATGATAAGATATAGCTTTTAATATAAAAAAGATTTATAATATATACATATGTAGATATGTTTAAAATAAGTTTAAACATCATACATTTATTTAAATATTACAAAGAATTCTAAATTTCAATATTTGACAAAGTAAGGTTAAGTTCAAAAATTCTAACCTCATTTTGGAAACAAAATCGAACCTACCTTAATTCATCTTTACGCATTTCCATTAGCTTATCACCTTCAGCGATTAGGTGATCGTAGTTTTCTTCAATTTGCATTACCAATGACTCCTTGGGCTCATCATCAGATTTCTCTTGTAATTTGCGCTGAAGGTCCTTGAATTTTTGCCATAACTCATCCAATTCCAACTGCAAGAAATAAAATTATTTTATTCTTTAGCCTTTTAAAATGTATGCTAAGGAGAGATTACCGTCTGCTTTCTAATATTCTCTTGGGTCTCATGATGGACATCAATCCTATGGAGAATCGGTTGGGCTGGTATGAAGGGTGTGGCTTGAAGAATATTTCCTAGCTTTTGAGATTTTTCATTTGATTCTTTGGAATTCTGCATTTCCAATGATTTTTCCATTAGGCGTTCCATAATTAAGGGGAATGTTTCCAAATAATCGGATTGGATTCTGAAACAAAATATTAAATTGTTAATAAGTTGCTTTTCAAGTTCTATTAAGTCTTGGATTTTTTAATAAATATTTTTTTCAAAGACCCACAAGGCGTGGATTTTTAAAAAAGGATTTTCCAGGATCCACAAGGCGTGGATTTTTAAAAAAGGATTTTCCAGGATCCACAAGGCGTGGATTTTTAAAAAAGGATTTTCCAGGATCCACAAGGCGGGATTTAAAAAAGTATTTTTTCCTGGACCCACAATGCGTGGATTTTTAAATAAATATTTTTTCCAGGACCCACAAGTCGTGGATTTTTAAAAAAGGATTTTTTCCATGATCCACAAGTCGTGGATTTTTAAAACAGTATTTTTTCCAGGATCCAAAAGGCGTGGATTTTTAAAAAAAGTATTTTTTCCAGGAACCACAAGACGTGGATTTAAAAAAAAAGTATTTTTCCAGGATCCACAAGGCGTAAATTTTTAAATGAATGTTTTTTCAAGGACCCACAACGCGTGGATTTTTTAATAAATATTTTTTTAAAGACCCACTCGGCGTGGATTTTTAAATAAATATTTTTTAGGACTCACAAGGGTGGATTTTTAAATAAATATTTTTGCTAGGTCTCACCTTATACGATTTGAATTTTTAGCAGCAACAATGGTAATAATTTCCTCCTGACTTTCATCGGCCGTGGTCAACAACACCAATCCCAATGCCTGTATATCCGATTCCCAGCTAACAAATTCCGTAAAATAGTTGGTCAATTTCACCGATTCTTCTCCAGCATTTACATTGAATGTTAATTTAATGGCGGCCGCTTTTTGTGGTTGTCGTGCTTTGAAAAACATATTCAATGGCAAAAACGAGGTCTTTTGTATAACCCGCGGTATACCCTTTGTGGAAATAAATGAAACAATAGCTTCCACCTTAGCACTGGGTATGTGCAATAAATCACAAGTATAAAAATCTAATTCCATTATTTCCCTGGTATCCGCTTTAATATCCGTATAGGTCAAGGTATCCTGAGAACATTTTATGCCATCGGGTAAATTAAAAACCACCTGTAATTCGGAGAGATCACATTTGGCATGCCATTTTAATTTACCCGAACAAACGGGTAAATCTTTCAGGGTGACATGTGCCGGTATATCCAACAGCATGGTATCGGCATCGTCATTGGTATTCTGCTCTATGGCGAATTCGATATGGACATCGGCATAAGCTTTTTCATTGATCGCCTTCATATCCTGTATATCGGTGGCTTCTTTGATTTCCTGTTCCAATTGAATAAATTCATCGTGGGCCTGTTGAAATGTTAACTCTTGCATATTTAAGGGTGGCACTTGAAAGATGTAGGGATCTGAGCCCAAATAGCCAATACGTAATTTTCCCGTTGGGCTCAAAGTAACAATGCCTCCTGGTAAATTCATAATATTCGATCGTTGGATGGCCACTGGCGATTCATGTTTAAATTGTGCGGCCCATATAATGTTGGCCATTTCATAAATGAAAACTTTGGAGGTTTCCGAAACGATGATGGTTATTAGGCGGGCGGTGGGTTCTAAAAATTGAAAGGTGACATAAATTTCTAATTGGACCTCTTCCCCATTTACTTACCCCAATAGTATCCGACTACAAAGGAGTGGAAACACTTTGGAGCATAATCCAATTTCAAGATGAACTCTATCTTTCCGGTATCGGTGAGACAAATGAAATTATGTTCGCCCAATATCATGAGTGAGGCATAATCGCTATAATCAAAGCATACTTTTAGGCGTCAACATTTTAATTAAACAGTGGTTGGCAAAACTTACGATTTCACCTGCACCACATTCATATCCAATATACCCTCACCCAAACAAACCGACCATATTGGTTGATAATGGGATTTGTTTATGGAGGAATGAGAGAGGTCCTGATAGCTGAAGGAGAAAAAATATATTTTGAATAATGAATATAAAATAAATAAATATTTCTTTCGAGGCCTACCAAGGCGTGGATTTTTAAATAAATATGTTTCAAGGCCTAATAAGGCGTTGCTACTTACGTGTAACATTCCAAATTCCAAGCCGAGGCCAAACGAAAAAATGAATCCGTTCGTTCACAATATACCACCGGTGTGGGTAGAGCACGATGACCAGGGAATTTACATTCGTATGATATGCCATCCTGTTCGAAAAATGTCAGCGAACCATCCAAATGGACGACACAGAAAAATTCCCGTCCCTTGACTTTACCAAAATGTCCCTTACAAAATGAGAATGCGGTGCGTTGAAAACGATATTCACTTATTTGTTTCAAGCTCAATTGGGCGCCATGTTCGGCCACACCACCCACATGTACAATATTATAGATAGCCAACGAATTGGGGTGTAGCAGGGCCAATTGATTGGCATTTTCTTTGCGATTGTTACTGAAAAAGAAAATTTCTATTAAGGTTTTGAATGGGTTATGGGTCATTCCTACTTACGCACTAAAACGCCCGGCATATACTCCCAATATTGGCAGCTGTCCTTGTATTTCCAATAGTAAATCGGTTGGCTTATATCCCGGACAATTACCATTGGCATCCTGTTCATAGCTGGGATAGAAAATACTTAGCTGACCCGTATGCGAACCGACCACAATGTAATCCTTTTCCTGATCTTCCAAACCAAATCGAGCACATAATAAACTTGCCACATCATAGTTTTCATCCAAATCTGGACATTGAGCAGTCCACCAATTACAAACGTTAAATAAGGACATATTTTTCGTGTGATTTATTTATTTGCGTCAAATATCTTCCAACACTGGTTTTTCATTTTCAATAATATAGAGGAATACATTTTATGGACCCGTCGATCGTTGCTAGGCAACAGAGGTTAGTTGCTATGAAATGCATCAGGTGTTTGGAAAGGACATGTCGTACGCAATGCTTTGAAATAGGGATGAAAGAGGAAAAACTGTTTTGATATTTGATTAAAAATCCACGCCTTGTGGGTCCATAAAAATATTTATTTAAAAATCCATAACATTAATTTAAAAATCCCTGCCTTCTGGACCGAGAGACAAATATTTCATAACAACCCGTTTCGATTTTACATCTTTATAACATAAATTTCAAATAGCCAGACATTTATCTCACACTTAAAAGAAAAACCATGTAATTTTCATTTGTGAAAATCTCCATCCAACGGCATAACATAACATTATGCGTAAGGCCGGTCTTAAATTATAAATTCGCCGTAATAAAATTGTGAACAGTTGAAAGTAACATTTCATGGAAAATAGCATTTCTGTCTGCCACACGAAATTTCCAACATGATTTTCCTCTTTAAATGGCCATCAATCCTTCATGCCACTGACCAAGAAGTCATGATACATACATGCATGATTGGTGCCGTGCGATGACCAAAGAGAATGCAGTCCTCTAGTTAGTCTAGTTATCAGGTCTTACGGATTGTGGTTGGAGTTTTATTTATTTTTTTTATTTAATAAACATATTAAAAGTTATGCAAATATCACATGGTGAAGAGGAGAAGTGGAAGACAGAAATGAGCTTTGCCACACAACTTAGCTTATCCTCCACAGAATGATGTTGAACATGCGGTCCGTCATGATCTAGCCCTAATCCATGTTTTATTGGTCTGCCTGCCGTTATCCTCATGTTTGTTTGTTGGTTAGATGACAATGCAAGAAATTATATATTTAAATAGGTGTTGTATTGCATCTTAGGCTAGATAAGGGACAGTGGGTTCGTGAGGTATATTTGAGGGTCTATAATTTTCAAAGGTCAATAAAAATGTGTGTCTCACTTCGATAATAGGAAGACTTGGAAATTCTCAATAGGTTATGGGCCCTGACAGGCTATGAAAAAAGAAAAATTCTGTGTGAATTGAAAATTGAAACAAAAAATTGGAAAATCCCTGAAAAGAGAACATGAATTTGTAAATCGAGAAATTGGACGATGGCAATGGAACATTCAGATGAAAAGTGTCCAACTTCATATGAATTTGTTGCGAATCACATGTGGAAGAGAGTTAAAACCCGAAGGAGCAGGAGCAGCCGTTTTTGAAATCATTGATGAAAAGGCGTTGGCATTGATATTGCTTCATGTGAAGGCAAATCAAATTCCTCATGTAAAGGATTGCAAAACGGCGGAGCGGGCGTGGTTGAAGTTGAAAGAGACGCATCAACCAAAGGGGCATACAAGGAAGATAATGTTGTTCAAGAAACTCCTGTCAATGAAGCTGCAAGCCGGTGGTAAGATGATGGATCATCTAAATGAATTTAGTACAATTTGTGAAAATCTGAATGAAGTTGAGGTTCAGTTGCCGGACGAGATTTTTGTTATAATTCTGCTATCAAGTTTGCCGACAAATTATGAAACTTGTGTAGTCGCAATAGAGACTCGGTGCCTTAAAGGTGAAGTTATTGGAAGAAAGTTGAAGCAGAACTAGTAAGGAAATTAGTAAAGTCGGACTGGGCCGACTATATGATACCCTTCACCACTTGGGTATATTGTACATATGTATCCTTACAATAGTATGTCAATGTTACCTCGAAGCAACATACTCATGGCTTTCTGCAACCTATGATAAATTTAATTTAATTCGACAGATTTAGAGTCGTCCAATAACGCCATTTAAGTCTCAATTTGATACGTTGTGCAAAATTTCGTGTAAATCGGACAAACATTAGGAGTTTGTATGTAAAATCGGACGAAAATATATTTGGGAGCTATATCTAAATCTGAACGGAGATTCTCGAAACTTAGCGCAACTTCGAAAGATATATTAGGACTTTTGTGCACCATTTACATTAAATCGGACGAAATATATATATGGATATATCTAAATCTGAACCAATTTTCACGAAACATAGCACACATCATTCTAGACTCAATTCAGTACGCTATGCCAAATTTCGTGGAAATAGAAGAATATATAGGGTCTTCGATGCACCTTTTATATTAAATCGGACGGAGATATATCTAAATCTGAACCGATTTTCACGAAACTTAACACACATCATTCTACTCTTAATTCAGTACGATGTGCAAAATTTCGTGCAAATTGAAAGTTTTATAGGGACTTTGGTGCACCATTTGTCTTAAATCGGACGAAAATATATGGGAGCTATATATAAATCTGAACCGATTTTAACGAAACTTTAAACACATAATTATAGAGTCAATTCAGTACGCTATGACAAATTTCGTGCAAATCGAAAGATATTTAAGGACTTTGGAGCACCATTTACCTTCAATCGGACGAAAATATATATGGGAGCTATATCGAAATCTGAACCGATTTTAACGAAACATAGCACACATCATTCTAGACTCAATTCAGTACGCCGTGCTAAATTTCGCGCAAATCGAAACATTTTTAAGGACCACTTACCTTAAATCGGACGAAAATATATATGGGAGCTATATCTAAATCAGAACCGATTTTAACGAAACTTAGCACACATCATTCTAGTTTTAATTCAGTACGCTGTGCTAAATTTCGTTCAAATCGAGAGGTGTATAGGGACTTTGGTGCACCATTTAACTTAAATCGGACGAAAATATATATGGGAGCTATATCTAAATCTGAACCGATTTTCAGGAAACTTAACACACCTCATTCTAGTTTTAATTCAGTACGCTGTGTCAAATTTCGTTCAAATCGAAAAATATTTGGGGACTTTGGTGCACGATTTACCTAAAATCGGACGAAAATATGTATGGGAGCTATGTCGAAATCTGAATCGATTTTCAGGAAACTTAACACACATCACTCTAGACTTAATTCAGTACGCTGTGCCAATTTCGTGCAAATCAAAAGCAATTTAGGGTCTTTGGTGCACCATTTACCTTAAATCGGACGAAAATATATATGGAAGCTATATCTAAATCTGAACCGATTTTTATGAAACTTAGCACACATCATTCCAGGCTTAATTCAGTACGCTGTGCCAAATTTCGTGTAAATCGAAAGATATTTAAGGACTTTGGTGCAGCATTTACCTTAAATCGGAAGAAAATATATATGGGAGCTATATCGATATCTGAACCGATTTTTATGAAACTTAGCACACATCATTCTAGGCTTAATTCAGTACGCTGTGCCAATTTTCGTGCAAATCGAAAGATATTTAAGGACTTGGTGCACCATTTACCTTAAATCGGACGAAAATATATATGGGAGCTATATCTAAATCTGAACCAATTTTCAGGAAACTTAGCACACATCAGTCTAGACTTAATTCAGTACGCTTTGCCAAATTTCGTGCAAATCGAAAGCTATTTAGGGTCTTTGGTGCACCATTTACCTTAAATCGGACGAAAATATATGTGGGAGCTATATCGAAATCTGAACCGATTTTCAGGAAACTTAGCACACATCATTCTAGACTTAATTCAGTACGCTGTGCCAAATTTTGTGCAAATCGAAACATTTTTAAGGACCACTTACCTTAAATCGGACGAAAATATATATGGGAGCTATATCTAAATCAGAACCGATTTTAACGAAACTTAGCACACATCATTCTAGTTTTAATTCAGTACGCTGTGCCAAATTTCGTTCAAATCGAAAAATATTTAGGGACTTTGGTGCACCATTTATCTTAAATCGGACGAAAATATATGTGGGAGCTATATCGAAATCTGAACCGATTTTCAGGAAACTTAGCACACATCATTCTAGACTTAATTCAGTACGCTTTGCCAAATTTCGTGCAAATCGAAAGCTATTTAGGGTCCATTTACCTTAAATCGGAAGCTATATCTAAATCTGAACCGATTTCGGGTCCGTCCTTGGGCCAAATAAATGAGCTGTGCCAAATTTCATCCAATTCGAATCAAAAATGCGACCTGTACTTTGTTTACAATTTAACATGGACTGACAGACGAACAGACGGACGGACTGACATGCATAAATCAACTTAAAAAGTGATTCTATGCATATTCTTAAAAAGAAACCAAGTGTCTATCTCATTTCCTTTTGCCTGTTACAAACATATGCACAAAGACATAATACCCTGGACCACAGTGTGGTGAAGGGTATAAAAATATTTTTTAAGACCCACTGTCCTGAATTTCCTCAATTGCGCAGCTGTCTGGTGTCGTTGTTGATCCAACAACGAGACCACAACGAAACACGTATGGCATCGGCAAAGTTTCTTTGGATTTCAAAGACAGTTTGACGTTGCCATTCCTGATGCTGTTGTTGCTGCTTTGCATCTCCAGAGAGAGAGAAAACCATGTTATGCTTAAATTGACATCGATGACTATTACCAATGGATTTGTAGTTAAACACCACCTCAGGAGTAATGTGATCCGTGTAAAGAAGAAATGTTGTTTCCAATTGTTGTGGTTGTTTCTTTTTTTTTTTGCGCTGCAACTCCAACTGCAGCTGCAGTGCAAAGAGAATTCTGTGTCATGTATAACGATATGGATATTAGGCTCACTCGACAATGGGTTTAACTCTGTTCGTTTTGAATTTCAATTTGTTGTTGACCCATACGAACCACCCTGGCTTAATTGAGCCCACAGAATTTTCCTAGACTCACAGTCTGGTCCGGATTGCCTTGTTCATCATTGGAGTTTGGTTTGCAATTGTGGCTTTAAACTAAGGCACTTTGTCTAGCGCACACAAAATATCGGTGACAATTTTATTGTTGTTGTTGTTATTGTTTTCTTGTCAATTCGCTTCGTCAGCAGCAGCCAATGAAATCTTAATAATGTCTTTGACAAGCATTCGGAATTCTTTGTTTATTCCCCTTCTTATTTTCAAAAGTGTTTCCTATGTCATGTTTAATTTAAAAATGTGATGGTATTGTAGGTTTATTGTGGCTTTTGATAGCTGTAATGACTTTCAAAACTGTATTTTAATACGATTGCGTAGATTCGTTTCTAAAAAAATCTTTATGAAGCTTTATTATATTTTTCCAAAGAGCCACATGAGGGGGTCTTCAAGAGGTATTGCTTTTTCCATAAAACCCCTGATTACATATATATTTTTTCTGGTATAAACCCCCTGAGGGTATGTGGTAGCGTTCTCCCATGGCCACATATGCTGCTTTTTCTTAACATAAATACATTGTTGCATTTATTGACATTTTGGACAGGTTGTGATTGTTGCATGATTGTTATCGATATCCATTGGCTGGCGTGTAATACCACATTTGCAACATTTATGTACTACAATGATTATTAGAAGTGTTGGAAAGGGAAGGAAGGGGACGTGTAATCGGAGATTCAAACCTAAAACATACCACTAAATCAATGAAAATGTCAAAATGACATATTTCCCATACACACATATATGTATGTATGTGTGAAGGTATGGGTGTATTCACATTACATGATTAGGATTAGTTTTCTATAACAAAAAATCCCTTGTAATTATTATGGATATTTTTTCTATAGAAAAAAATCCTCAGTTACTCTGAGGGGTCTTTTTCTACCGGAACAAAAATCCTGTGTTATAATATTTCTATAGAGGAATATTGCTTTGAAGGATCTTTTTATACCCTTCACCACTCTGTGGTACAGGGTATTATGTCTTTGTGCATATGTTTGTAACAGGCAAAAGGAAACGAGATAGACACATGGTTCCTTTTGAGAATATGCATAGAATCACTGTCTGAGTCGATTTATGCATGTCCTTCCGTCCGTCCGTCTGTCCGTCTGTAGATGTTAAATTGTAAACAAAGTACAGGTCGCATTTATGATCCGATTTGAATGAAATTTGGCACAGGTCACGTATTTGGCCCAAGGACGGACCCTATTGAAATTGGGAAAAATCGGTTTTTCCCAATATATATTTAGATATAGCTCCCATATATATATTTAACCGATTTAATGTAAACGGTCCCTATATATCTTTCGATTTGCACGAAATTTGGTACAACTTAATCATGTAGGTCTAGAATGATGTGTGCCAAGTTTCGTGAAAATCGGTCCAGATTTAGATATAGCTCCCATATATAGTTTCGTCCGATTTCAAGTAAATGGTGCAACAAAGTCGCTATATATCTTTCGATTTGCACGAAATTTGGCATAACGTACTGAATTGAGCCTAGAAAGATGTCTGCCAAGTTTCGAGAAAATCGGTCCAGATTTCCATATAGCTCCCATATATAGTTTCGTCCGATTTCATGTAAATGATGCACCAAAGTCGCTATATATCTTTCGATTTGCACGAAATTTGGCATAACGTACTGAATTGAGCCTAGAATGATGTCTGCCAAGTTTCGAGAAAATCGGTCCAGATTTAGATATAGCTCCCATATATAGTTTCGTCCGATTTCATGTAAATGGTGCACCAAAGTCGCTATATATCTTTCGATTTGCACGAAATTTGGCATAACGTACTGAATTGAGTCTAGAATGATGTCTGCCAAGTTTCGTGAAAATCGGTCAAGATTTAGATATAGCTCCCATGTATAGTTTCGTCCGATTTC